TGGCGTGCGGCCCGGCGAGGAGTACAAGAAGGAAGGATGGGAGGGACCCTTCTTTTATGGAATCTGCGGTAGCTTTGTTGTTGCTACTATTGCGTATGCTTTTAAGCCTGATACTAGGTATGTTCCTTTCTTGGTGGTTTGGATGGGGGAGTTTGGGAGAATGAGGGGGAGGAGATTGAGGAGGCAGAGGATGAGGGATGGGTGGGACTGAGGGGGGGATGGAGGGGCAGAGAAAGATTGGAAGAGGAAGGGAACGAGGAAAAGAGGGGAGATGGTGAGAGGAGGCGGATTATGGGGATCTATGGGGAGAAGAGTGGCGGTTCTCCACAACTGCGACAGGACTCAAAGACCGAAAACATGTGGTTCTGAGGAGGGACTTGTGCTAGGAGACAATTCAGCTGTCTGAACTGGACATAAGCTAACATACCCACCAACAGCATCCAAACATGGGCTCTCGAAGAGGCTCGCCGCCGACTAGAGGCCGAGGGCATCCTCGAGGATCCTCATCCCGAGAAGTAAACGTCTTGTTCGAGCATAACCAACCCCCCACACCTCGATCGACCATGCATTCATAAAACGAAGTGCGGGACAACAACGGCAATACTCCAAATCATACGAGACGGTGGTTTACGGACGGAGAGATGGGATACAGGAACAGTCGAGACAGCCCAGCCAAACAAGTACAGCAGTAACAAGCAACAACACAACGATCAGGGACCGGTTACACAGGACGGCCTTTTCACACACCACCGCCAGGTCTAGACGATGAATTCGATGGGGGACATGCGACGGAGCAATGAAATTAGAAAGTGAGATGAAGGCGGGGCGGATGGGATGCTTGGGATTGGACGGTTTGCGGGACGGCGAATTCATTGCGACTTGCACTGCACTGCTTAGACGATGGAATTGATCATTTGAGAAAAACATACATACGTACACATACTCCCCCCATCACCACTTTTCGTCAGGTCTGCTTGTCAAGGTCGACTCTGTAGACTTTGACAAGTTGCCCTTTCCATCTGTATATCATATTGCGTTTTGCTTGAGAGGTACGATGGTAGGTTTTATAGCTGTTATTATGGACGGAGGCTCTGCTGTTACAACTAAAAGGAGGCTGGGATCCTGTTATCATAGGGATGCGATAGACTGAGGAGGCTTGTTGCTTTTGCTATACTGATAGACGGTGGTTGTATGCTTTATTCCATTCGTTACGCCTCTCCACTCTATCATTCCTATAATGTTAGATTATGGTGGGTATTAGGGGTTGATGAAGCGACCAAACTGTTCTGATTCGTAGTCGTGCGAATCAGCTCTTTTTTCAATGGCTATTACAGAAGGCATCATCACCGCTGGATAAAATAACTCCTCCTTCTCAATGAGTTTCAAGGTAAGGTGTTGAAAGCCTCGGTCTCTTTTGAGGCTCATCACAGATGAATTGGTCGTAGATGGCAGGGAGGCATAGGCCGGCCCTGGCTCAAGTAGTAGTACTTAGAGTCTGTGTTCGGGGTTGTACATTCAACACTGGACACGCAGTCGTCGGATAAGACAGCCTCGAAAGCGTAGGCGGCAACCTTAAGAGGTGAAGCGCGCCACTTTAGTCCCCGGTCCGTACCTGCCCTCTTATCTACCTAGTCTAGTAGCAACGGCGTTCGAATCTATCTGCCTTTGGCACTATCGGACACCCTTAACCCCTTTTGTTATTTGTTTTTGTGCAGTGCTCTTCAACCAACCCTCTCATTTTTGCAGACAGTTAGGTACTTATTGTCCGTCAAATGCGATGTGTGTATCACGACGGAAATAGGCAACCCGAAGGCAACTTGTGGAAGGTGAAAACAGACTTTGTCGTAAACCAGCTATCTCCGCAAATCCCATGTCATAACCCCAAACAAAGTATATACAGGAAAAAAGTCTCCAAAATGTTAACTTTTCATGTGAATAAAAAATCTTCGCTTAAATCATTTTTGTCTTCTCATCACGCCACGCCGTTCAGGTATCTATAAAATCTTCTTCTTCTTTACTCGCAAACATAGCTCCACTCATGCTCCTCATCACCGTACTGCCTGGCCTCCATCCAGTTCTTGATCTTCATGGTAAGCTCGCCGCTCTCCTCCTCGGGCTTAAGACCGCAGTTGACGAGCTGGCCCTTCCAGCTGATGGAGCGGACCGGGCTCACGATAGCGGCGGTACCCGCGCCGAAAGCCTCAATGAGACGGCCCTCGTTGGCCGCCTCGGCAAGCTCCTTCATCGTGTACTTGCGCTCCTCAATCTTCCAGCCCTCAGGCTCCAGCCTCTCACGAGCCAGCGCGAGGACGGAGTCACGCGTGACGCCCTCGAGGATGGTGCCGTCGAGGGGAGCGGTGACGAGGGTCTTCTGACCGGTCTTCTTGTCCTTGAGAGCAACGAAGAAGTTCATGGTGCCGACCTCGGTGACGTACTCCTCCTCGCCGAAAAGCCACAGGTTCTGCTGGAAACCGCGGCTCATGGCCTCGACCTGGGGCACGATGCAGGGCGCGTAGTTGGCGCCGAGCTTCTTGTCACCGACACCGCCGGGCCAGGCGCGCACGGCGTAGTCGGTCGCCTCGAGCGAGACGGCCTTGAAGCCCGTGGGGTAGTAAGGGCCGACGGGGGAGGCGATGACGTAGAGCAGAGCCGAACCGGGGGGACCGACGCCGAGGGTCTTTTGCGTGCCGATCATGGTCGGGCGAAGGTACAGAGAGTAGCCGCGCTGCTCGGGGATGAAGCGACTGTCGAGCTTGACCAGCTTGGCGATCAGGTCGATCAGGGCGGGCGGGTTGAAAGTGGGAAGGGCGATGCGGGCGGCCGACTTGTTGAAGCGCGCCATGTTCTTGTCGGGGCGGAAGAGGCGGATCTTGCCGGCCTTGTCCTTGTACGCCTTCATGCCCTCGAAACACTCGAAAGCGTAGTGGAAGACGCAGGTGGCGGGGTCGAGAGAGAGGTTCTGGTAAGGCTTGATCTCGGGCGCGTTCCAGCCATTCTCTTTGGTCCATTCGATGGTGAGCATATGGTCTGTTGGTTAGAAGGGTTGTTAGTTAAAAGCTGTTTTGCGCATTCTTCCGTTTGGAGGCAAGGGGACGTTACCAGTGAAGTTGCGGCCAAAGACGAGCTCCTTGGGCTCAAGAAGGGGCTTGGGCTGGGTGCTCTTCTCGACCTTGAGCTTGGAAGGGTCCATATCGGCAGTGCCGGCGGCGGCGCTGTACTGGCGGGCAGCGGTGGCGGAGAAGGCACCGAAGCATGGCCTCGAGGGCTGGAAGGCCGCAGCCCTGCGGAGGGAGGTGCGGAACATGTTGGTGATGTGTTGGTTTTGGTGTTTTGGTCAAGTTTGGGTATCAATGGCTGGAAACAACACAACTCCTCTCTAAATAAAAAAAGGACTAAAGTGGATATCGTGGGGGGGAAAAGAAAAGAAAGCAGATGAATGATGATCTCTTCGCTCAGACACGGGACAAGACAAGAAGAGGACACTCGAAGGAGGACAGAGGACAGTAATATCTATTTACTACTCATATACCTAAGGAAAGAGTCAGTCAGACCGCCCTGGATTCCCGCGCACGGCACAAAGTGGACGAAAGTGGACGACGGCAATGTTGGGAACAAGGGACCATCGGAGGGCGATCGGAGCTTGATCTGGGCCAATTGACCCAATCAGACTTGTCCCTTATCATCTCCGCCGTTCCCGACAAGCCCGCCCCATGCCGCAGCTAACCACGTATCCACGGAGTCATTGCAGTCTCGACTCGGTGTTGTTGGCGGACATTGCATTGTTAGTCGTGTTCCAGAACACGTCTGCCGCGCCCCGCAAAAAGCCCTCTTGAATGCAACAGGTGGGGTGTAGCTCCCTAACAAAGTCCACCGCCCTCGGGGTTCAAAGTCGCGAGGCCGTGAACTGTGTGAAGCAAGCTCCCCGCTATCATCGCTGTCATTCCTGCTATCTTTCCCCCGAGGCCATCTTGTCTTTTCTTATCAGTTTGCTGCAAGCTTCAACTTCAGCCTTACCACCAAGTGACACACCACTGCCTCTCGACTTGGCGATTGGGCCTTGCGCGCAGTTACACTGGGCTGCAATAACGGGAGGCCAAGCTTGTGCCGAAACGTACTAACAACTGCCTTGTGCCATCGTCCGGGACCCTTCATTGTTCTTCGAAGCACCAACATCGGTTGGTTGCGCTGTCGTCTCTCTTTGATCCTCTCATCCGGTGTCCCCTACGAATGCGATTGCGATTCTGTCCGGTCTAATATTACAACAGTATTCGCTGGAGCTTGTTCGATATCTGTTAGTGGAGGGGTCTTGGCTGGACGACCATCGTTAACGGAAGCATCAACTGCGTAGGTAGGTACGAACCGCATCATTCCCGTCCGTACCTGTAAGGCCAAGTCAATTAGATAATGAGAAATCTCCAATTTCAACTGCTTCCCGACCTGACATCCCCTTACATCGTTCATGTACCATTATTATTACTATTATTTTCCCCTCCATAGTGCACGCCAATGGATCCAAAGAAACGGTGACCGGGAATTCCGACTCTAATCGAACTTCAACTCCAGCGCCTCAACCCCCGAAAGCCACCCAGCGCAAACCATCCACCGAATCCGCGAACTCCCCGACCGAATAAATCATGGCCCTCGCCGGCGTCTTCAAGTCGCTTGGCGCGACAAATATCAACTCCAATTACAGCATATCTTCCACCCTCACGACGACAGCCGGACCATGGAAGATCTACCCGGCCAAGAAGAAGTCCACCGGCAAGGAGTACTCGGTCTTCGTCTTCGACAGGAAAATCCTCGATGCGCATAGCAAGGACCTCAGCCGATCAAGCGCCGCCGGTTTTAAGAAGGTTGTGGAAGAGGTGGTTGAACGGTTGAAGAAGGAGGCCTCTTCGCTGGCCCGGCTACGGCATCCTGCCATTTTGGAGCTCGTCGAACCGGTGGAGGAAACACGAGGTGGTGGCCTACAATTTGTCACGGAACCGGTAACAACATCACTTGCGGCAGTACTACAAGAGAAGGACGACCAAGAACGAAATGGTGTCGGTGGCCGATCAAGTCGTTATGTCAGAGAGGGACCCGACGGCACCCGGAGGCGGCGTGAGGTGGAAATAGACGAGCTGGAGTACCAGAAGGGATTGCTACAAGTCAGCAAAGCTTTGGAGTTTCTACACGAGAATGCCGGACTGGTCCACGGCAACCTGACCCCAGATGCTATTCTTATCAATGCCAAGGTGAGTACCTCCTTCTTTAGTCCTCGGATATGGCACATGCGCTGACCCCTTACAGTCAGACTGGAAGGTCAGTGGTCTCGCTTTCTGCAGCCCGCAACAAGACTCGAACAAGCCGACGTCGATACAACCCATCAGTCTCTCAGAGGTCCTGCATTATGAGCCCAGGCTACCTCGGACTGTTCAGATGAACCTCGACTACACCTCTCCGGACTTTGTTCTCGACAACAACCTTACATCTTCCGCCGACATGTTCTCGTTGGGTCTGCTCTGCATATCTCTATACAACTCGCCCCATCGGTCACCTTTCGAGTGCAACTCCAGTTTATCCTCCTATAAAAGACACTTCCAGTCTTCACAAGGCGTACCTTCTTCGACCAACAACTACCTCTGTTCTCGAGAGCTACCCAAGGAGCTAGCCAACCATGTCCTACCAAGGCTTATCACCCGAAGACCGGCCACACGGATGACGGCCAGGGAGTTCCAGCAGAGCGAGTACTTCAACAACATTATGGTCAAGACATTGCGCTTCCTGGACACCTTCCCGGCCAAGACACCAAATGAGAAGCAGGCGTTCTTGAGAGGGTTGATCAAGGTCCTACCAGACTTTCCCAACTCGGTCATGGAAAAGAAGATTCTTCCGGGGTTGTTGGAGGAGATGAAGGATAAGGAGCTTATTTCCTTGATTCTGCACAATATCTTCAAGATTGTTGAGCTTTTGCCGTCAACCGCGGGCAAGAGAGCCTTTGGAGATCGGGTGCGACCGGTTATCAAGGAGATCTTTGTCACCAACGCAAAACAGGCACAGGAGAGAGACCCTGCTAGGGATGCAGGTTTGATGATCATCATTGAGCAGCTACCTGTTATCGTTTCTGCCTGTCCTGGAAAAGAGTTTAAAGACGGTAAGCTCCTAATTCTATATTTTGTATGAGCTGTCCGCTAACAATACTAGACATCCTCCCCATCATCTTCGCCGCCCTGGAGTCCCCAACCCCCGTCCTCGTTGGCGCGGCACTCCAATGTCTCCCAAGCGTTCTCCCAGTCCTAGACTTCAGCACCATCAAGAACGAGCTCTTCCCCGTAGTCGCCATGATCTTCAGCAAAACCAACAGTCTGGCCATCAAAGTCCGCGGCCTTCAAGCCTTTGTGGTTCTCTGCGGAGGCTCCACTGACCCCTTGGCGAACAACGACGGCCTCGACGGACTCGGTCCCTCCGAAAGGAAACCTTCGTCTAGCTCTAGTGCACTGGACAAGTTTACCATGCAGGAAAAGATCGTACCTCTGATCAAGGCCATCAAGACCAAGGAACCAGCCGTTATGATCGCCGCTCTTAACGTCCTGAGGATCGTGGGGAAAGCAGCTGATGCTGAATTTGTGGCCATGGAGATCTTGCCCATATTGTGGGCGATGAGCCTAACGCCCTTGCTCGACCTTAAGCAGTTCCAGTCTTTCATGGATCTGATCAGGAGCCTGTCCAAGCGGGTGGAAGACGAACAAACTAGGAAGCTTCAGGAGCTCAACGGCGGTAACGCTTCCGGTCCAGCAGAGGACTTCATGTCCCTAGGCGGGCTATCCGGGTCCTCGGCTCTGGACACGAACGGGACATCAGCCAATGATTTCGCGGCTCTAGTCGGCGGCGGCAGCGGTAACACTAACAGTAACGCTAGCCCGCTCGACTCCGGCGGATGGGACGATGCCCTGACCTTCGGCTCTAAGCCAGCGGTTACCTCCCCCGGTATCCGCTCCGGCACCGGCACCGGCCGCTCAACCCCCGCCGCGACCTTCTCCTGGTCCTCCACTCCTCCCGTCACCACCCCCGCTCCTTCATCAACTCTCAAACCTCAAACCACCGGCTCCCAGTTCCGTACTGTAACACCAGACCTCGGCTCCTTCCAGGCTTTAACACCCCAGTCCACTCAATTCTCTCAGCCACTGCAACCTACCCCCTCCACCATCACCTCTCCAACAGGCACAGGCATCAACTGGGGCGCAGCCACACAACCACAACCGCAAGCAAATCTCTGGTCATCAACACCAACATCAACCGTCACCTCACCCTCTATCGCTCCACCAACAAATGCCTTTGGGGGTATGAACCTAGGTCAGTTATCGAGCAACAACCGAACCAGCTCCTCGTTTTCACTACAGCCGCCACCATCAGCCTCATCAGTGTCAACACCTGGCTTCGGCTCGGCGACCGGAGGGTTCAGTCTTGCGTCACCACCCAAGCCTCCTACAGTGACAAGTGGACCGTCATGGGGATCCGGATCGGGATCTTCGCTTGGTACTTTGAGTAGTCTGAACAATGGCGCCAATAGTATGGGGAATATGATGGCTGCTAAGAGCACGAGCAGCTTTGCGAATATGGGGAGTGGGATGGGAAGGGGGATGAGTATGGGTAGCATGATGCAACCACTTCAACCACAATCTTCGGGGTGGGGGACGACGCCATTACAGCCTCAACAAGCTCAACCGCAGCAGCAGCAGCAACAACAGAGTAAATCGGGTTTGGATAAGTACGAGAGTTTACTTTGACGAGCTGGATGAGGGGATGAATGGGAGAAGAGGTGTGAGTCAAAAGGGAGCTGGCTGAGTAAAAGTTGAAGTTGAGGTTGAAGTGAAAGCTTGTTGAAGTTCATATCTGAGCGTACTAAAACCATAATACATACCCTACCTACCATCGCTTTTGAAGCAAAAGAAGAGGTGTCTTGTTGGCGCTTGGTTGTGCTTACAAACAGCCTCTTTTGTTTTGGAGTGAATGGACAAGGGCTAATTGATCAAGATATTGTTCACCTTATTACATCTTGTTTCACATTGTCTTTTCAACATCTTTTCAATCATATTAATACCAATCACTGCCAATCAAAACTACCTACTACCTACTATACTCACCCTTGCTCCCTCCCGTATGACGGTACTGGAAGAAGAAGAAGAAGAAGAAGAAGAAGAAGAAGGCGACAGACCAAAACAAAAAGGCCTTCTTTCACCATAATTGTTTCTTTTTGCTGACTTGTCTGTCGCCCACTTTTGTGTAGTCAAGATACATATATTCCGCCCATGCCGATGCGATCTCCCTACTACAATACAACACTTGTACCCACCCCACGGGTACTTGCCAGCCTCTTTTTCAACCAGTGTTGGTCTATCTTTCTTTCTACGGAACACGTACAGATTGACATCAGCGCTCGCTCACTTCTCACTTTTTCCAGGACCCTGCTCCAGATGAAGATACTTAAGAGACTCCTAAAACATCTTACCATGCCGCTGCTGCGGTTGCCATGGGCTTGGGGTAGTTATACGCCTTCGCGGCTGTGCCCGGGCCCTTTTCATTATTTATCAGTCACTAGTTCTAAAGGTACCTAGCAGCGCACCATATGGTATGGTGTACAAACACAGAAGAGGGGACGAGGCTGTAGTAAGAAAGTCAGTGGTAAGGTAGGAAGATAACTCTTGTGTTCAACCCCAAATAAACTGACTGAAAAGCAGAACTCCGCTGAAGCTAATAAAGCAGAAATAAAGCACTGGACACCACCCTCCATTAACCACTTATAACTACCTTTGACCAGTTCTTCCCCTATCTCTTCCTCTTCCCGTATTTCCCACGACACCTCAGTTTGTGTCTTTTTGTTGTGGTCAGTTCATCCAATCCCACCCTAGCCTAAGCAAGACCTAAGCCTCCTCACCACCCTTATCCTCCACCTCCAACGGCGTCACTCCCCCTTTATCACCCTTGATGATATGCGCCTGGACAATAGTCTCTCCAGCAGTGTTAGTCACTAGAGACTTGACTTCCTCCTTTGGCGCCTCCTCAGAACTAGAGCTAGGACCAGTAGCCAAGGAGTTAGTGACCGGAGTACTAGCGGCAGCAGCCTCAGCCTTTGCCGAAGCGGTAGTAGCATCGCGCTTATCTTCCACGTTTTCGGTCTCGGAAGAAGCAGCGGTGACGGTAGGCGGTTCCTGGGTCTCCTTGGTCTCAGTCTCCTTGGCTTCCGTCTTGGTCTCCTCCGCCTGTGCCTGCTCGGCCTGCTCGGCTTCGATGGGTACTTGCTCATGCGCAGGAGCTTCGGTGGAAGTAGGGGTATCAACCTGAACGGAAGATTCGGCATCGGCATCGGCCTCGGCTGCGGCCTGCTCCTCAGCCCTGACCTCCTTTTCAATGGCGGGAGTCGAGGGGAAAGCACCGGGTGCTTCGGAGGTGATAGCCTCGGGGGAAGCACTGGACTCGGACTCGGGCTCGGGAGCCTTCTCTTCCTTGGTCTCGTGCTTCGAGGCTTCCTCCTCCTTAGCTTCCTTCTGGACAGGTTCAGGAACAAGCTTCTCTGCCACAGCCTTGGCCTCATCCTTGACTTCCTCAATCTTGGGCTTCTCGGCCTCAGCTGGCGACTCAGTCTTGACCTCAGCCTCAACCTCCTCCTTGGGCTTTTCCTCAACAGGCTTCTCCTCAGTGAGAGCCTTCAACTCAACAACGCCAACACTAACACCTCCCTCCTCACTCTCAGGATCAATAGCCCAATAACTAATCGAAACCGAGAAACTGAGCTTCGGCCCCTCGTCCTTCTTAGTCTCCGTCTGTGCCGGCGCCGCAGCAGCAGCAGCAGCAGCGGCCTTAGCAGCAGCAGGCGCCCTCCTCTGGGGACCCCTCGCCCTGCCCTTCCTAGCATCACTAAGCGGCACCTTCTCCTTCTCTTCCACCTTCTCCTGCTCCTCAGCCGATGTCTCCTCCTTCTTCGCCGGAATCTGCGGGCCAAGTTTCAGACGGTTGTTAAGGTCGTTCATGAAACCGGCCTGCAGAGCGGCAATCTTAGAGCCCATCGGACGAGCGGGGACGGCGGGCTTCTGACGGGGAGGAGCAGCGGCCTCGGCGGGTTCGAGGCCGCCTGAGGTTGGGCTGGCTTTGACGGGGCGCGCGGGAATGGCGGGCTTGGGGGCCGGCTTGGGCTTGGGACGGTCGGGGATGGATGGGCGAGAGGGAAGAGATGGACGTGAGGGGATTGCCGGTGGCGAGGGCTTTCGTTCTGTGACCGCGGCGGAAGTGGGGACAGGCTCCTTTGGCTCCGGTGTCTCTTCCCTAGCCTCGGGCTTCTCGGAGATCTTTTCGTCAATCTTGGGCTCAGGCTCCTCTGTACGAGGAGAGATCTTGGCAGATTCGGCCGTCGCCTCTTCCGTCTGCTCCTCGTCTTGCTGGGGAGTAGAGACCTCCGTCTGCAGCTGCAAGCTCTCCGGGCTATCCTCCCAAACATCACGACTGGGGAATCTCTGAGCCATGGCCGGCCTGGCAGCCTTGGCAGCCTCCTTCACTTCCTGCAGAAGATGGGGCTGGCCCTGGACCCAGGAAGGTCTGCTCTGGTGCGAAGAAGGCTTGGGGGTACTCGACTTGACGAAACCATCAGGGCCGTTCTCCCGAGCCTCCTTCTCAGCAAGCTCCTCTTGCTGGCGGGCAAACGCCTGAGCAAAGGTCTCACCCTCGCGAGGTTCGATCCGGGGCTTGGCCTGCTCCTGACCCTCATCCTCCTGCTGCTGCTCAGCAATTGGTTCCGGTGTGGAAACTTCGGCTGTGTACATGGTACTGCTGGGGGCATCCTCCCAGACATCAGCACTAGGAAAGCGGCGCTTATGCTCGGACTTGGGTCTCAGAGGAACCTCAGGCTTCTTCGCGGGCTGTTCGTCGTCCTTGAAGAGGGGCTCGTATTCCTCGACATCGTCAAGGGGCGTAGAGCGCATTTCGAACGAGTTCTCCTTGTAGATGCTGGCCGGTCTGCTAGTCGGGCGGCTCTTGGGCTCAGCGCTTTCGCGGCGCCCGGGCACAACGGCCGGCTCATGAGCGTAGGGAGATGGGTTCTTGGCGACCTCGTCTTCGGCAAGAATGGGCGCAGTGTACTCCTCGTCCTCCTCAGCCGTCGGTGCTGATCCGTCCATGGACTTGCCTCTTGAACTGCGACTGTTGGGCTCATCCACATGAATTACATTCTTGGGCTCTTCGTCCTCCTCTAGAGCGCGGGACTCGCCATTATCATCTTGCACAGCAAAGGTTGGCTTGACAGGGGACTTGTGGCCGGAGGAATGAGGGCGGGGAGAGGCGACGCGGGATGTAGATTCCTCAATGGCCTGCCATCCAACCTGCTCGCTGGGGGTACCGGGGTAGTTCTGGACACCTGCGGGCAGAGCATGTTAGCCAAGGCAACTGTCATAAAGAGTACATACAGGTGGTGCTTACCAAGACCAGAGCCACGGCTGGCGGTTTCCCTCACAATCTTGTTTAGGTTCTCGCTGCTCATCGAGAAGTTGTTGGCACGATCATACTGGTAAGGCGTGTGTTCCTTCTTGCGAGCCTCGGGATGCTTCTCGTAATACGCCTTTTCAAGCTTGTCGGCAGCAAAAACGCCATGGCCGTGGAGGCCATAGCTCCCGGGAGGAAGAATGCCGCGGGCAGAAGTCCTACGGCTGTGATGCTTGACCTTGTCGGGGCCTGCGCCGGGAGCAGGCGAGGGGGCCTGGACATCACCAGCGTTCTTGTACATGGGCACTTGCTGGCCAATCTCGGGGATGCCAGGCTCGTCCTCCAAGTCCACCGACAGCTGGCTAGTAGTGCTAGCCTTCTTCTTCAGACTCTTGTTGGACGGGAGAACGTGCGTGGACTGGTCGTCACTGCTGGGACGGCCGATTCCGAAAGCGGCGGCTCTGTCGCTATCAGTGCGGGTGACGGCCATGATGCGCTGCTTGGCATTGGCAGGAGGCAGAGACGGCTTGGGCGCATGAAGCTTGAGATCGTGACCGATAGTCCTGGTCTGCTCGGGGGCAGCACTCTGCTCACTGGAAGGAGTGCTCTCGGTGAGATTGGCATATTCCATGCCCTCCTGACCGAGCGAGGGCAGGTCGACAGACGTGGATCTCTTGATTTCCTCGCCATTGTGACCGTTGCGCAGAGGATGGCTTGACTTGGGCTGAATAGGCCCCTCGTTAAGAGGCGACGGCGCAAAGCGGTTCGGATTCGGGCTCATGGAGCGCTCAATGCGGCTCTTAAGCGGGCGTGGAGGGATCATTGGAGCGGGCTGTTTCTCGGTACTCCTAGACGGTCTAGGGGGGACGGGAGGCTGAGATTCTGTGGTAGACATGGTGATATCTGGGGCTCGGGACGAGTCGAAGCTATGTATGTTCGGTGTGTATAATGGAAGGAATGTTCCCGTTCGTTATCAGCCGGGGTGAATCTGGCTCAGTGACCAATGTCGACGTGTGAATGCACGTGTAAGTGGCAGTGTTGGGTATGATGGGTCGTGGTAGATTCGTCAGAGTCACTCGTGTAAGTGGCTCGGTACTAAGGTGACTATCGGAGGAACGTGCGCCTCTTGTTAGCCCATGTTCTTCTTTCAAGGATGCAAAGTCAAAGAACAACGGGGATGCAAGATAAGTGCGCCTGGCCCGGCAGAATAGAACAATGCAGGTAAGGCAGTGGTAATCAAGTTGATCCTGCAACAAGGGTATGTTGTTGAAGGTGAGGGAAGTGGGTGTGGTGCTTCGTGATCTTTGGTGATAATGATGGGTGGTGATACGGCAGCGCAGCGAGTGTCCAGCCAGAAAGGGGCAACCCGGGGGAGAAGCTGGGCTTCCGGATCGCCGTTCCTCTTGGGCACCGCTTGTGGTTATGGACGGGTTGAAATAAGCTGGAAACCACCGCGCTTGCGTCCATTCGCTTGGGATTTCAGTGCGTCTCAGTTCTGTTCGGTTGGCGCGGTCCTTTTTTCTGTTGGGGGGAATGGAATCGTGGAAGGTACGGTAGGTGTTCCAAGACTTTGCTCAGGCAGCCTTCCGCCGCAAGATAAGAAGTCTCGTCACTGCCACGGAGACTTGTACCGAGAAGCCCGGTACCGTCAGATAAGATGATGCTGGGTACTTTTCTTTGCAATAGTACGAGCAGTACATGTAGCTGGAAGATGTGCCTCCGTGTACAACTTGAGCTTCTCCTGGTCTGGATGTAGCTGTCACAGGAAGGAGGGAGATCACCATTGACTATCGGCTTGCACATAGAAAGCTTCAAGTTGATGTCTTTCCTCCTTTCCCAGCTTCCCCAGTCCATCCATTGATAAGTGTCATCCACTCCTCTTCTGCCAAACTCGGGATCACGGAGACTCCGAAGTTTGCTCAGAGTGGTCCGGTTCCGTGAGGTTGACCCGGATTCATGGAAGGTGGTGTTGATGGAGGGGCTTGAAGATTGTGTCCATGTAAGGCCAGCATGTAAGGCCAGCATGTAAGGCCAGCATGTAAGGCCAGCGCTTGCTCAAGGCCCGTTGAAATCCGCATACGACCTTGACAAGCTGGGGAAATCGGGATGGGATGGGATGGGATGGGATGAGATGGGATGGGATGGCGTGTGTCACTGTACTGTACTCACCTAGAGATAAGGTTCCGTGTTGACAATGCAAGTATAATGGTGGTGATATCGGGTGATTAGGTTCATAGGAAAGATTAGTTGGAGGTCGGGCGGTGGTTTTCAAAGTCAATTGGAAAGTGGCCTGTCGTGCTTTCTTTGAAGGAGCTCAGATCAGGTCGATCGAGTAAGTTGCGAGTCGAAGCAATAATGGAAACGGGTTTGCAATGGAAACTCCGGGGGAGGCGCGCTGGCCACTTATATCGTCTTTATTATGTTTTTCAGGTGTTCGTCACCCATCATTCATGCCGCACGCCAGCAACAACACAACGTTGTGACTTCAGTACATACTGTCCCAACTTTGTTTATCCGCACAATGAATTGTCTCTTTTTCATGACCAATTGGGTCATTTACTTGCATGCTTTCTCCAAAACTCTCACAGCATGTGCATCGTCAATGCCTTCATTAGGCTTAGGACAGAGTGCCCCAAATGCCCCTCGCTGTCATTAGCGATTCCAACCGCCATCGTACCGCAAAGGTACCGCCAAAACCCGTCATGGGGCGCATACAGTGTTGTTGTGTTGTTACCCATACGGTACGAATCGACCGGTTCCTGATCGAGTCCGTTCTCTTTACGATGCTGCCATCTGACCGTCAAACTCTGCCGTCAAGCCGAGTTGATCCCGTACTTAACTGTCTTCTTCATAATATTCTCCTCATTCAGTTGAAATCCCGATGTTGTGATTCAAGACAGACAGACAGCTTGAGCAAAGCAACTGCCCTGCCTGAAGAACAACAACTGCTCATCAAGGTGCACACTCCAACTGGAAGCTCCCCCCTGGCAGGCGCCTCAAAGAACATTTCAGGTTTTCCAGCGTTAACCCCTTTCAGGACACCCCTGGCACCCGCTTGGAAGCCCCGTCATATCTCTACCCCACCATTGCCCCACCTCTTTGAGATGCAACGGGCTGCAGCTTCCTCGACCACGGCCAAGTCCTCCTACCTCGATTGCAGAAGTCCAGAGCTGTTTAGGACTCTTCAGTGTCAGCTTTTGTGCTCAAGTGACGTGAAGAGTTTTTACCAGACGCTTATCTTCTAACCTTTCTTTTTCATTCCGTCTTCACGTCCCTCAACTCTGTCTGTCGAGGATCAGGCCCTGAGATGGAGAGCGGATACACCTTAAATAGGTGGGGCCTACTGATCTGCCCTTCTTTCCACTTCATGACATGGGTTGTTTCGATGTTGTTCTTGATCAGACTCTCCTCAGAAACACAACACCTATGTACAGTAGAGACCCTAGTAAATGCAAATAATCCGGGCTCTATGGGGGACCTCAAACACACTTGCATTTACTAGGCATCTTGCATTTACTGGGGTCTCACTTACACACAAAATGGCTAATCCGGGCCGCCAAAATACTTGCAATTAATGGGCACTTTTGTATGGACTTGAATTTACTGGGGGTTGCATTTACTAGGGTCTCTACTGTACATGCATTGACTCTAGCGAGACGGCAGCTCCGGTGATGAACAAGTCCAAGACTCCGGGCCGTTCCCCTCATCTTCTCCCCTCTCGTCAAAACGGTCCCAAGAGATGTTGGGAATGCAACGAGCCCCAGAAACAGACACGATTCGCAAAGCTTCAAGCCAATCACAACCTGCAACACGACAGTTGTGCCTAAACTTAACGGTGACCGCTTCTTTACACGCCAGGGCAAGCTTCTGTGCCATTTGACGCACCTCTTGCATATCAGAAAAAAAGGTTAATCACGAGTTATGGACATTGTCAAAGTATAAGACAGGTACCGGTGTTTATCTCGCCAAACCCGGGGCTGAACCTGTTGGCTCCTTGCCAGCCGAACACGTATTATAGCTCTGACCACCGTCCACGATAGCAAGGTTTCAAAGAAAATGGTACGTCCCTGTTTTTCTTGTCTGTGTGTTCTGCGATTCAAGCACCGGAATTTCCTGATCGCGATGTCTTCAGCAAATGCTTCTTTCTCCTCCAAAAAGAACCCTGAAGAACAGAAACCCCCAAAACATGACGCAATCCCCATTCGATCGTCAAGCCTCAAACTACATAACATCATACCATCCCACGCACAACAACTAACGGGTAAGACCCTTTGTTGCGAGCACGCTTTCCCGTGGCAACAACTTCGGTTCTTGAATAACAGCAAACTCAAGCAACTACAAATAGAAACTTGTCATATCCCGAAGAGCCAAAAACGTGGGGAGCCCGTTAAAAGTTATACAGAACAACGATCGTGGCACAAGAAACACCAAACCTGCATAGCGAACCAATTTCCAATAAACGCCTAGAAACGCCATTATGTCATTCCTTTGGTTCCGTTTTCCACGATCTTTTTCAACAACAGCTCTATCTGCCCACAAGACAACCGATCATACCAAGCAAAAAACATAACCAAGAAAAACCTAGACAAGAGATTGACAGGAACTGCTGATAATTATGTATCCGTTTCATCCAAGACATCGACACTATCTGAAAGGTGGTCAACCACGTCCACGAACTTCACCTTCTCCCGTCAACTACCCTAGGCCTACACAGTAACTACCTACCTCTAACTACATAAGTACCTGGACCACTTAAAACCCATGACACCAACCCCAGCTTTTCTTCCTACACTATGTAGCACGAACCCACCGTTACCTATTTCGGTATTTCATCGATCACAAGACCAAACAAAGTGTGCTTTTTCTTTCATTCCAAGCAGCCAGCTACAGGGCCTACAGGATCCCGCCTATGTGTGCACTGCAGTTCCCCGAGGCGTCGAACATCGCGGGGAACTTTAACCCAGCGATATCACAGTTATAGAATGTGTGTAACTGGCAGGACATGATTGGTCGAATCGTTCATGGAGTGAAGATGGTTCGGCGTTTATATCCCATGGTCTAGAGGATGTGTTTTCTGGTCGAGTTACACATGCCTATAAAAAGACGACCAAACGCCTAACAGGCACGGTATACTTGCAAAATACTTATCAAAGCATTGCATGGACTGTGAGGGGTTTCTGATATGATCCTCAGGATCACAGCACGCAAGTCATGGATTGACGAGCCAGAAGGTTGCAGACAAAGGTAATAAGAAATCGAAGAGGAATATGAAGAGGAATTTGAAGAGGAATTTGAAGAGGAATATGAAGAGGAATATGAAGAGGAAGAGGGCATACACGTGGGTGCACGGGAAAGGGCCTTTTATATGCGAATGACAGAGTAGTCCAGATGGGATGAAAGACAAAGACCCAAGACAAGTGTTTGGCATGTGCCATCACAGTCACAGACATGTCCGGCCAGCTGTGAGCGGGCGAGTATAGCTAGGCATAATCGGCTTTTTTCAGGAGTGCGGTCACTCGTGCCACGTTTGATATAGTAGTTGAGGAGTTGGGACATGATCACGATTAACACATGGGAAAGAGCGGAAGTACAGTTAAAGATAGTTTATTTCATTATATAAAACCGGAAGTACTTGGAAGACAGACGAGCCAAAGCCCACCATCCTCTAGCCTACTCCCATGCCTATCTATCCTTCATGGTTCTAGATGAACCAATTTTCCACTGAAGAGAGCATGTTAGCTATGTCTCTCTTGCTTGGTGATGTGTTCCAATGTTCAGGGGAAAACAGGAAGTAAATGCAAGCTGTAATCTCAGAAGGAACAATTGGTACAGTCCACGTATGGCTGTATCAATACCTCATAACCCGAAGGCAATTAGGAATCCCTTTTATCATCATGTACAGTAGCAGTGGAAAGGGGAGGGGTGCTGAAGCGAAGGCATCGGGAAGAGGTGGGATAATGGAGGGCGAGGTCGTACCTTGTTCATGATTTGAGAACGTTGAGTTGTTGACAGTGTCACGTATTCAACACTACCATTTCCGTCACAAAGTTACCCCAGAACGACGCGGTCGATCATCGCGGAGTTCTTCCCAACCGACACCAGAAATGATATGCCAGGTATGGAATCCAGGGCACCGTCTCATCGATGCCGCGAATGCGCCATCTACAGCTATACCACATCAGCCTCGACCACAACCACCACTTGGTAGGAACAATCGGATCTCATGGTCTGACAGTCCCCTTCGAGCCCTAGCGCCTAGCCATGACAAGGTCCGTCTTCGCGGTATTTTAACTGCCGTCAAGATCGTGACCGGTCGTCGTCGACTGGACCTCGCCAGACAAGCAGCCAGGCAGCCTAGAGTAGCGTGCCGTCCATGCCGTCCGGAGCAACAAAGCTGTCGGGGCTAGTCTACAAATCTGAACCAATTGTTAGCCTTCTGAAACATGAGACAGACGCATCGGTTTGTAGTGCAAATAAAAGCAAAGAGTTGCTTGGCGAGTCAGACTGTTGAGCTTGATATATTAAGTATTCAACATAAGGATTCAGTTGTTTGAAGAAGAATAAGTCATCATCCGAGGGGAATTGGGTAAACAGCAAAAGCGATTGTTTCTTACCTGTTTGTGGTTAGTCAACGACGGCGCTGGTGCACCATTGCCTCTGTTGTGATGCCACCGCGGGACAAACAGAGGTGCGAGAAGCTGAGACGAAGAAAAAAGGTTGAAGTAGGAAAAGCTCCAAAATCCCTGCCGCGAATTTTATGCTGGCGAGAAGCCAATAGAAGGAAAGCTTGGACCACTCACAACGCGATCGCACAAACAGCCGCCTGCCGGGCGTGACGGTACCCCGCTTTTAGCTGAGGCCGAAATTTAACCCCACCACGAACCTTCACTTGTTGCGAACGGTATCGCGATCGGTCAGTCACAGGCCACAAGCACACAAGGCAGGCGGCGCGCAGTCGCAATAGCGCCTGGGCGGGCAACAAGCACAGCCTGTCGTCCCTTCCCAAGCAGCCCCCACCAGCCCCCATCATTGGGTACTGACAAAGTTCGAACTACGAAAGAGGCCAATATAATATCAACACCACCCGCCATCCACCAACTCTCCTTTCCTCTTCTTCTGCCCGACGTCTTGCGCTAGCCATCCTCTTGCACTATACCCATATCGAAATCTTTGTAAAAGTTTCTCACCAAAACAACCGCCAAAATGTCTCTCGGTAAGTGCGCATGGCCAGCGATGAGCTTGGGAGGTCGCACGGGCAGGAAGATCGGCAGACAGCCAGGCAGCCAGACAAGGCTCTCGCTCGAAGCTCTCGGTCCAGCCCAATCCAGGTTTCCCGTGGCTTCCAAGTTATTGCTGCGAAGGCAGTCAGTAAACGACACAGAGTATCAGGATGCTAACCTCTTGACTCGATGACAGACTTCTCCGCCGTCGCCAGTGAGTAGAAACCCGATCATGCACGAGCTCGAGCCGCTCCCTTTCGAGGCTACGGGGAAACATCGACGACACGGGATAAAGTTCTCTTGGAATAGGAGGGACTGAGCAGGATGAGGGCAAGGGGCGGCAGACCAAAAACAGCGCTCCCACGATGATGACTGTTGCTACCGCGATCGACTGAGCTGAACCTAACACCACGCTTTTCTCGCCTAACAGCGCAATTCGTTGCTCACTACTACTCCACCTTCGACACCGATCGCAAGAACCTCGCTGGTCTCTACGTACGATTCCCTCTCTCCCATACCTTTCACCGAAGCCGACGACAATGCGCTCTTTCATGACGTACAGGCGCATGTCGAGGGCACACACAAGAGAAGGACATACATGCTGACATAATCACACCACCACACAGCGCGAAAACTCTATGCTCACCTTTGAGGGCTCCCAGTCTCTCGGTGCCCAGGCTATTGCTGAGAAGCTCACTGTAAGTCTGCGCCTGCCGAAACCAAAGCCGTGGAGAAAACATGATGATCAGGGCAACTGACAGAGCATCCCAAACAGTCTCTCCCCTTCCAAAAGGTCAAGCACGAGTACGGCCCTCCCGACGCCCAGCCCACCGCTAACGGCGGTATCGTCATCCTCGTCACCGGCCAACTCATTGTAAGTCACAAATGTGAAGGTGAAACACAGGAGTTTTGTCATCTAACACTCCGGACAGGTCGACGACGAGCAGCGCCCTCTTGGCTTCTCCCAGGCCTTCCAGCTCACCCAGGACGCCTCTGGTCAGTGGTTCGTCTTCAACGACATCTTCAAGCTTGTCCTTCTCTAAGCGAGCAGCCGGTGGATGTGTGTGAAGCGATGTTATGATTATCTGAAGAGGTGGAAGAATACCAAAGCAAATCAAACAAATATCCAAACGATGGGATTGCCGAGTTGGCCTGCACGAGTGACCGAGAATCTCTTTTTCTGCGCGCCTGTCTTTTTGGTATATGTGTTGTTGTTTGTTCGTGTGTAACGAAGGGAAGATGGAGGAAGCCGAGTTTAATCTCGACTGCTGATGAGAGGTAGGACTTTCTAGGTCCATCCTGTATGGGAACAGAGGAACAGAGGTCTACGACTATAAACGAAGTCTACTGTCATCAGGTCATCACAGGCTTGGCATTGAGATGTTCAGTTGGCGATCTCGGAAAGAGGCTTGGCTTTGTACCCATGCCTTTTGGCTTGTGGCATGTCACTTGTTGTAACATTCCATGGTGATGAATGTCCATTTGCTACCGAGAGAGGCCTTATATGTCAATTGCCGCGTAACGGCGTCGTCAGCGGGCGAGGCTTGCAACAAAGAGTTTAAAGTGCTGCCTAGCAGCTTCACGATGTTGATGAACGATGAGAGCAACATCTGAGTGATAAGCATTCATACCAAAGACTGGGCTACAGCAAGGGGATATATGAATGAGTCCCCTGACCCTGAAACCGTTAAATACGCTCAGAGTCTTTATCCCCTCGCTTGTTCAACTAAAAGTGCTTCATCGAATCTCCTTTTCGGTTTCATCAAGGGAGCACTCAAAGTTCCAACACCGTGAACAAGAAGAACAAGGGATCCAATCATCAGCTCAGCGCATCCCGTTTACACGCCAATCCAGGCAAGAGTGACACAAACAGACACAGCAAGCACCGCCACTGTCAGGCACTTGAAAGCACCGGCCACACTCGTACTTGGCGCTCACCTTGGGCGCTTGGCAAGCCCATACACCTTCCGTTGTAGGGCGTCAAGCCGCTACGACGAGACTCCAATCAGTTGAAGCTTACGTTACCTACCCTTGCCGGAACCTCCTTCAACTACCACACTTCTTCTCACTACACTTACACATTACGTCGATACCCTCTTGAGCTCTTCAACAATCAGGGAAAAGAGCATTGGTGGCATCTCAGTTAAACCTCAAGATCAAGATCCCCTCAATAAACAGAACAGAAATCCACCCGTTTCCGGAGTAACCCGCGACTCGGTCGACGACCCCAACCCAGACCCCATCCACATCCAAGCATCGGCATCTTATCCATCCCGACTCTGTCGACGGACGGAGACCCGACCCGACCGACTGGGGATCTTCTCTTTACCGCCCAGCCTCATACTTTGTTCACTTATTTCTCTCTCCCGCGCTCTCTCTGTTCCTCTCCACAACAAGGCGATTCGGCAGGACACTAAAAGACAGTGAAAAACGCCTACAGTAGTCCAGCATAAAGCCTCTTTGGAAAGTTAGGACAACAAGGGGGAACCCAGGTCATACCACTGTCAATTCCCATTGTTGCCGAAACGAACGAAACAGCCAACAAGCCAACCACCTATTTCCCTACAACGACAAGCGAGTGGAAAGCGACAAGCGGCAACAAAGACCGCCGGATAGGTTCCTCAATAATCAACTTGCTTCCTCCTTCAACAACGAACAACTACAACTACTCGCGAGCGAGCTAGTAAAACGACGACGACTTTTACGAAATCGAAACGAACGTTGAACCATACCACGAGTTACGAAGCTTCTTGCGCAAAGTAGCAAGATAACAAATCGGCGGGAACGACCAAACTACCAAACCACAGAACCAAAAAGGAGTACACGAAAAGCTTCTATAAATCAATCAAGATGACGCTCAAGGAGGAATTCGCGACGCGCAACTTCAGTACGTTGTTTCTGTCACTCTGCCTGCTCTCTGCCCCTCCTCCATCCGCCCCTCGCTGGCGCTGATCCCCTTCGGCGTCGGTGAAGCTTGCGCCGACACCATGGGATGGGGAACGGGGGATCTACTCCTTCATGACTCAATGATCACCTTGCTGACTATGATGTTTTCCTACTGGACAATGGTGAGCACACACACACAGTCACCTTCCCTTGCGTAGTGTAGTTGGCGCAAGTTAGCTTGGTGGTGCATGCGTACCTTTCTCGGTCGATGCTCCTCGAGAGCGCAAGCTTGAAACATGTTGAACTTCTCGCTCGCGACAGCTCTCCAGCTGTTGAACGCCGAATCGAACAGACAGCGAAAGCGAAACAGAGACAGACATTATCATCACATGAAGGCCAAGAAAGAGGAGAAGAGCTAACCAACCAACCACATTTTCACAGGCTCGGCATTCTCTCCATGATTCTCTGCTTTGCCCTTGGCATTGCCAACATCTTCGTCTTTAGAGTCATCATCATTGTTTTCTCTGTCATCACTCTGTAAGTCCTTCCTCCTGCGCCTGCCCTTTACCACACTCGAGTCTCGACCTTTCACATCCTACCCCCTGCTCCTTGCCATTCCTCCCTCCTTCTCACTTCCCCCCCTCTACCTCCTACTCCCCATCACAACCTAAACCAAAACACAAATACTAATACCCCTTCCCCCAACCAACAGGTGCTTCTCCTTCGTGATCCTCTTCATCGAAGTCCCTCTCCTCCTGCGCATCTGCCCGACCTCGTCCACGTTCGACCAAGCCATCCGCAAGATCTCGACAAACTACATGCGCGCCGCCGCCTACGGCGTCATGGCCGCGGTCGTTTTCCTGTCCAACATTGATCGCGCCACTTCGCTCATCGTCCCGGGTATCTTTTTGACGCTTACCGGTCTCTGCTACAGCCTGGCGGCGCTCAAGGGCCAGGACTTTGTGGGCAGCAAGACGCTTGGTGGCTCGGGGGTTGCGCAGATGATTGTATAAGGGAAGAGGGTCTATTGTGGGAAGATGGAAAGGAGCGAGCGTGGTCAAGGAATAATGAAAGAGGGAGAGAAAGGGCTGGAGGAGGAATGATCTGGTGCTCTATGGGCTTAAGGAAGGGGAGATATGGTATGGGTGTGAGAGTATCCAAACAAAAAAGGAGGAAGGTAATGGGTAAAGAGAAATGGGCTGGTGAGGTTGAGGATATACAGGAAAGGAAGAAAGCAAGGACATTTGAAAAGACTGACGGGGTGATAACCGGAAAAGAGATATTCACTCGTGTTGGGACTGTCTAAATGACTTATTATTCGCATCAAAAGGAGGTCTCCATATTCGTTATCGTGTGTGTTGCGTGTTGCGTGTTGCGTGTTTCTGTGAGGATATCAATGTCAAGACTGTTGTTTTATGTTATTTGTCAAAAAGAAACGGGCGTTCACCTTCATCTGGCCGGGCGCTTTGCTTAAGTTACCTATCTCAGTTGCTATTCACTTTTTAGGTTCTAATATGCGTCGAAGGTTTTTTTTTCTTTGAGATAAGATAAATGCCACTTCTTATTTTCATTCCGTCTCTGAGTTCCCAATGTTCTCAATACATGGCTCGCACGAAGAAAGGAGCGGAGAGAAGTATGGCAATCGGTTCTCGACTTGTTCCTCATTAATTTGAATCTCTATACATATCATGTGATTGGTTGGCAACTACACCATACATACCATGACGAGACTTCAGTTTGTTGTTGTTTCTGGGAATACCAACTAGCAAGAATTGATTCCGTCTTATCATCTCTTGAGATTCGGATGATAGTATTTTGCCGTGGTCGCCCCTTTGAATGTTATCTAACTGTTGTTTATGTTCCATACTAGTCAGACGGGCAGTTTTTGTAGACCTGACGAAGTATTCATGATGCTTATCAAAAGTTCACTCAGCTTTCTCTTTTGAAGACTCTGACGACCTCCAAGCATGCTGTACTGTAGACTATGGTAGAGCTTCCAGCACGCTTCACATATCGGGACTTGACTCAACTTTCACGCATTGGAATGGCCCTCTTGAACTTTAACATCCGCTGTATTCCTAGCTTAGCTATGAAAGGTAACCTTAAACTACCCCTTTCAGTCCGCAACTCTTCAAAGTCCCCGGATTCCCGAAAATCGTCCATAATCCATACACCAGCTGACCATCTTCTTCAGCTATCCTATCCTATCCTATCCTATCCTATACTTCCACAAAAAGCCATGTATCGTATGCCATGATGTATGCATATGTCCATGTAAGCCTTAATTCTTCTATGTCTCACCAAGCAAACATATCCGCTTCTGGTGCTCTCTCTCCCTCTTATCGAGCGCCCTCCTCCTGATGAAACGTGGTGAACCCATCCAGCCTTAACCATGATGGCACAGAAGCACCTTTGCTTTCCCATCCAGGCCCCCCTTTTCCATATCAGCTTCCCACTCCGTAGTTCTGAGTTTTTACTCTATGCAAAATGCAAGGAGTTACAAAAAATGAAAACGCTGGCCATTGACCCGTAATGGCAATAGGTCCTGGCAGATTCGTTCAAGAACCGTTCTAGTGAAGACAAACGAGAAGCATTGTTGTTGGTTTTCGATGATACAGAGGAGAGGAGGAATATCGGTTCGATGAGTTATTGATTTGTTGGTGACGGGCATGGTATCTTTCTGTACTCCTTTTTCCGTGATTCGCTTTCTTCCTTCGGGCATCCCATCGGTTTTGGCGGGTATCGGCTGGGTTGCTCTTCACAACTGGACTGGTGACGTCCCGTCTTCTCATCTCTTCAACACCCACTCACTACCACCGGTGAGTGTCCTCTCGACTTGACATCACCCTCATTGATATCAGTGGCATGAAGATCTCATCTTCCCCCGCCTGTCACTCAACTTCTGCAGCTTCTGGGTAGATCTAGCCCTCTTGATAAACAGGCGATTGTCAAAGCAATATTCAGGAGTGTCCTATAGCTCCTCCTCGTCCATCTCGCCGCCCGTCGTCTGTGGTAGAGGCGTCTCCGCGGCTTGGGCGAGTAGCCCACTAAGACTTGACGGTACGGAAGGCACGAATGAGCTGCCGCCAAGGGGCTTGACGTCACTGCCCACGTCGTCTACACTCGCGCGAGCCTTCTTCATGGGACTACCAACAGCGGCGGCCTCGTCTGTAAGACTCTTGGGAAATAGTGACGACAAGCCAGTGGTCGTTCCTGGCGCGCCTCCGTTTTCTGGGGTGGCATCTCCTGCTTGCGAGCCCGTGGTACTACTTTGGCCCGCATCGTGAGCACGCTTGAGCTGTGTGAGTGTTAGTTACTTGTTATAAACAGGCATAACAACAGCAGGCACGTACCTTGATGCGATTTACTCCATCCGCCAGTTCTCCAGTAAACTTGACGTCATCCGGACCCAGCTTGGAAGTATCGACATTGTCTTCGTCATCAGCAAGCATCTTGTCGCTGATATCGTCATCATCATCTTCGTCATCACTGTCTTCGTCCATGGCGCCGGCCTTGCCATTGGTGTTCTTGCGTGACTTCTTCGGCCTCGGCTGTGCGTCGCGATCACGGAATGTTGAGAAGCCCACGGTACCTTGCTTCTTCAAAGGTCCTAGGTTGGAGAAGTCGAGCTGAGCGGATCGTCGCTTGGCGGCAGTAGGGCTGGTAACTTGCTGCTTCTCGGAGGCAAGGACGCCCATTTTCTGTAGTTGGCCTGTAACAATGAACGGGTTAGCGTACTGTCTTTACGCTTCGGCTATGGTACCCGTTGACTTACGCTCGCCGCGGTAAAAGAAGGTAAACACTGCATAAGGCTTCTCTGGCCCGTCGATGCCGGTCACGGTCTGAGTGCTGATTGTCTTAGGATCGAGCGTCTTAGGCTTTGCGAAACTAGTGGTGTGCTCAACATCCGCATCGATCCCGTTGTTGCCGCTCTTGGAGCCGCCTTCCTCGTCATCGTCGTCATGGGCATCGAACTGCGGACTGTATTCGCCCTTCTTGATTTCACCAGACGCTATAACGCGGAACATGGCCACCTTGATCTGCCCGGTTGCTTCGGGGGGCTCGTCGTCATCCGAGGAGGAAAGCGAGGCGTCCTCGTCCACGGCCTCGACCGGCCTGTCTTCGGATCCATACCTAAGGGTACCCTGCAGACGGCCGGAAGCCGCGTTGCCCTCGGATATGGCTTTTTGCCTCCTACGGCGCTTCTCAAACTTTTGCCGGCGACGTTCAAGCTTCTCAGCGGCGTCATGGCCTTGAAGGTCTAGACCGTTAAGCCATCTTTCAAGACCGACCTCGCGGAAGAGGAACTCGCGCTCGGCTAGACCTCCACCCTCAGATTCGGGTACCTGAACCCATCTGCTGTTGACCCACGTCTCTTCGCCGGGGCGCAACAGGGTAGCCACTTCTTCCTTGGCCCTGCCGTCAAAGTAAATGTACGCAGCGATGGTCTCGTTTGCACTATTCGTCATAGGAATGTACGGGGCGACAACGCCATGGTACTTTCCGCGCTCGCCGGTGCTGGTGGGCATGTTACCGACAAAGGCGGGCTTCGGTAGGGGTTGTTCTCAGTGGCCTTGGGTGTCGAGTAGGGTATCGCCAGACCAGGGGTGAGCAGGGTGATGGAGATGGCGAACTTGGCAGCCTCGGGCTTGCCAGACTCTGGGCTTATCTGGGGCTGAGGTACGGGGATGTACGTGTTGATCCGCGAGACGCGGGACTGTTTCTGGATGCCATATTCGGGTAGGGGCGCTCCGTTCGCGTGAATGCTCACGGCGATGCCTTTGAAGCAGGGCATTGTGTCGGTAGTCGTGCCTCGGCCAAGGGCCTAGGATCTACGATAGACCAGCGGTTTGATGTTGTGGGTTGTGAATGGCACGGCCGGTCTCTTGGAGGGAAAGCGGGGGAGACAGGGCGCACGTCGGCGGTGGTACGATGTTGTTGTAGCAAGAGAATCTATTCGCGTTCTATTGGCATAGCTGGTAAACGAGAAAAGAGAGCCAAGCTGGGAGATGTGGTAGTATGGCTATGTTGGGTAGAAGGAGGGGCCTTGTGCCGTGTTGCTTGCTGGTCGCTTGTTGCAGGCAAAGTGACGACAGAAACAGGTGTAGTATCGGTAAGGGTAAGATGGGATGGGTATCGCTGGTCGATTGCCTGGCTGTTGCTTGGATATATGCTGGACAATGGAATGGGGCGTCCTTAACAAGAAGGCACGAGACGGGTCTTGTGGGCGCGCCTGTCTTGGGTATCTGCGACAAGATATACAGCAATTGCAGGTGGGCGCAGTCAGTTTGTCGCAAAACCTGGGAGCGAAAGTTGTTTGAAGGAATGGAAGTATGCGAGTCTCGAGTTGCTGTCTGCGCACACGTTCTCCGTCTTTCTCTGTTGTTCGGGTTCGGGAGGAAGGTAGGTAGGTAGGTGCTGTGCAGTGTAGACGGCAGACGGTGGTGTTGGTCCCACGCTCCCACGGTGAAAGTGGGCAAGCCCAATTACAGCTAGAGCGGGTTCCGTCGATTTAGCAGGTGGAGAGGGGTTGGGCCACGCCACGGTTCGCGGTTGACACGGCCACCGACCAAAACGAGGCGGTTAGTTGCTCACCTTTTACAGTACCGTACCTGCCTGCCTTGAAAACAATAGATGAGGTGCTACGGCACTTGACTTGCACGGGAAGGAAGTGTCAGTTGCACACCTTGGCAATTTAGAAAAGCCCCTCGATTGTGGGTTTGCCTTCGTTGCTTTTTGTCGCTTTTGTTTCGAATTACCATGGAGATCAACGAAACGCTCCTTCACCAGAGAAAAAGTGATCGATGTGCTTGCAACACGAACCTGCTCCGAGCGCCTACACCTCATTACAGCAGAGCTCACACAGTCATCCGACTGCCGGCGGGGATTGACCCAAAGTCGAAGGAGAGATTAAGAAGCACATACCTCTAGGTAATAATCCAATGTTCTTTTTAGGTTGTTGCTAACAAACCATTGGTAGCCTAATTATTCAGCGAGAAAGCCAACTTTGGCGGTTCATTCGCAGAGCAGGACGGAGATTACACAGTGACGATTTTAGTATGAGGCTGAAGAATGATGCCCTCTGCTGACAAGTGATTGAGGTTCAATCTGTCCTGGGAATTGGGTGGGAGCGAAGCGAGGGGTCAAGTGTCACGGTCGGTCGGTACAGGTCGGTGATTGTCATTGATCGTTCCCGTTGCTGTGGAGGGGAGGGGAATGATTATGAAAAAAGTGGAGATCCCACCTCATTGTTGATCTCAGGACCTGGGAAGCACGGGCCAACAATTGCTCGCCAATCCCTTCTCTTTACTCAGGCGGGCAGCGGGGAGTGGAGAGCGCACGGACTCCATTGTTCCTCGTCCAGTTCGCTTCGTTCTCATCACCGTTCCGCTCACAGTTCTTGACCGGGCAGCCAACCGGCTTGCCGGCGACCAAGCACCTGCATGTCCGGACACTCCGGTTGCAACTGCCAATGGTCTGGCGGTGCCTGGTGAATCCGTAACCCCCGTCGGTTGTCACTCCAATCATCCACCAACTTCCCCTTGTTGGATGATTGTCCAGCTCCCCGCTTTGGGCTTTCCATCCCTTGCGGCTTTCAAGGCTGTCGACATCGATGACAGGTATCAGATATCGCCAACAAGGCAACATCATATGCGTGTTGGCGTTGGGCTGATAGTACTGTGTATCTGCCCAATTTTCAGCAAGGGAAGGAATTTTCGGAATTGGCCAACCAGCAAAACCTGAGCTCCGAATACCTAACCAGTCCAACCATGTTGATATTTTGACCGATATCGACAATGATATCAGCATGTATCACATGTCAGATCTCTAGTACGATCGTGGAAACACGACTCAAAGACATCGCTTGGCAGAACCGAGAAGCCAAGATTAAATAGCCAGCATTCGAGAAGCATTTGGGTTGATCGGATCTTACAGGGCTCGACTTCCTATAAATCGCCTAGAAACACCATGACCAGTCCAGAACAAGAGGCCTGAAGAAGTAACCGTGGGCGACAGGAGTTAGAGACCACATTGGTTCGCTGTCTATCTGAAAACTCCCAAAAGGTCAGTTATGCTGAGGGATGACAGCGGCGTCGAGGAAAGTGAAAGCAAGGAGAGGGTAGCTCGCATGACGTTTGACTTGCCAGAAATCACCTATACGCACACGCAATAGCTAATCGATGATAAGAGTTATTATGTAAGCGACACCCAGTCAGAGCTTTGACTCACAAGAAGACATTGATCAGAGGAACCCCGAGTTAGCCTCGCTGAAGGCCAAGAATGGTGTTGAAGAGAGTAAACCAAACAGAAGAGTCGGCTTCACTGTTTGACGGTACCATCGAACACGGCAAAGGGAGATATTACATAGATAGGGCGCGTGAACTGGGCTAGTCCAGTGCCGTCATCTATGCCACTGAATGGATCCCCTTCAAGGCTCTGAAGCTGAATGGAGTTGACGTCGGGACAAGAAAGGTGCAAAATGAACTCAACATGCATATGGGTAGGTACTTGATGCTCCATCTGACGTCGAATACGCCTTCAAGCATGGGATCATAGAATCAAGTGTCTGTAAACACAATAAAGAGTATCTTCCAAACAACGAGAAAGTATCTTGCAAACACAAACAAGCGAGTGTCTTCAGTGTCTCGTGCCAGGAGGTGTAAGATATGTATCATCCTAGCGTAGAGTACCTAAGACAGCTTATGGAAGTCCGAAGCTGACGACTGAAGGGCAAACCGAAGGAGAGAGTTGACAGCTTGAATAAGTCCATGCCATACATACACAGTAAAGGCTGAACGGAAAATATGGTCTATAATTTGTGGGAAACTCAACACATATTGTCTTTCATCAGAAGACAGCTATGCTCACAAAACAAGCTGCCTTTCACCTATATGCTATATGCTGACGATGCCACAATGACCCCCTTTCGCGATAGTAAACAAGCCGTTTCCTCACCAAGTACCCTAACCCTTTCGCCGTCTTTTACTTGCCAAGCAAGGGGTACGTACCCGCCTGGTGACATCAGCGGTCCAGCCCAACACATTTTGGGTAGTGCTTCGCTTAAACTTGGGAGAGCAAGAGCTCCCCGCGAACATGTGAAACTGAGCAAGACGATAATGAGGTGGGATTATTGTTCATCAAAGTCGTCCCACCCGTTCCTTGTTCCTTTCCTCGTTCCGACCTCTTCCCCTCCTATGACTTTCTAGAGATCAACCAGAAAACAAAACGGCGATATCGACCTCCGGTAAACAACCAACGATTCGCCATGTCGGCCCACGGCGATAGCAGTAGTCAACAGCTCGAGAAGTTTGAGCTGGGGACTGTTTCTGTAAGCCCAGTCTGCTCGCTAGGTGGTGATGGTTCAATGATATACATTGCTGATATAGTCACCAATTTGCAGGAAAACTACGCTCAAATCAAGCAACAGCTGCGCGACATCTACGACGCCCTATGCGAACTCGCCTACGAAATCATCACCTCCAAGACCACCCAGAAGACGGTTCTCTACTCGATCCTGGGCACCACCGCGTCCGCCATCTTTTACGGTGTTGCGATTGTTGTGTACCTCTTTTGTTATCACAGATATCTGCCTGATCAGGTTACGAATGTGCCGCTGCATCTTCAATATGGGTGCGTCGTCGTCCATCTCTGTGCCCTACCTACCCCGGGAAGCTTCGTGAACTAATGAGTGATCATCACAGCTACGGCCCAAACCCCTACGGCATCTCCCCCCTCACATCATACAACCTCAAACCCTCTCAGCCCTACGACATCTCCGTCACCCTCAACCTCCCCCGCTCCCCGACCAACATCTACCGCGAAAACGGCAACTTTATGGTCGCTTTACACCTGCTCAACGGCTCGCCCGAGATCCAGCGCGTCATCCAACCGCCCGTCCCGCCGCTCAACATCGACAACCCTCTCACCGGCAAGCCCGGCGGGCCCGACATTTTGACATCCTCCTTCGTCACACCCATCCCGCTCGCCGTGCCCGACCCCATCTCCCACCTGACGCACAACAAGATCTTGTTCTCTTCCACCCGCACAGCGGTGATTCCGTACATCGACCCCCTGGTAGCGCAGGCGAAGCGCGTCATGTTCCTCGGCTATCACGTCCTTTTCCCCGAACACGCGGAGCAGGTTAGCTTGCAGGTTCCCCTCGCGGAAAAGGTTCAGTTCCCGAGACGCGGTGGTAAGAATGCCGCTGGTCTGGGACTGGTGGGCGATGGCACGCCGACTAGTTTGCTCGTGGAGGTGCAAGCGGGACAAAAGTTGCAGGTGTATGAGGCTAGCGTCACCATCACGGCGAAGCTGAATGGACTCAGGTGGTTTATGTACCACCATCGGGTCGTCAGTTTCCTGGTGGGCACGGGGCTGTTTTGGGCGGCCGAGGTGGTGTTGATGGTTGTCGGGTGGGGGGTTGGTGGGTATTTGTTGAGTCGGGTTTTGGAGGGTTCTTCTTCTGCTAAGGATGGAGATTATGATGCTGCTGGGGACAAGAAGGGAACCACGAAGGGTAAGAGAAAGGTTGCCAGAATCCAAGAAGGAAGTACTGGTACCGGAGATGGATACGACCCGGAACACGAGACCGACGAGGAGAGTACCATGTCGGACACCGAGCGAACATTCCCTAGCCGGTCGGGGGCGCCGCCGTTGAAGTACGAGCCGGGGACCATCAAGTCAGAAGAAGAGAAGGAAAAGATTAAAGAGGAGGAGGACGAAGAAGATGACGATTTGTATGATTTACCGGTGCACTTGCCCAGCGTCAAGGAGGCTGGACACGAGTTTAGGGATTCGGGGATTGGGACTAGTGGATATAGCGATATGTCGAGCACCACCACGGCGGTGGGAAGTGGAAGTGGAAGTACCACCGCTAGGAACAGGAGAGGGAAAAAGGAGTAGGACTCTAGCAGCCCCAGCTCGGATGGTTCTTCTATGATTCCGGTCGCAAAAAAGGTGCGGAATTGTCATGCTTGTTAGGCTGGCTTTGGAAGTCTGATTTGGGAAGATGGTTTGGGAGAATGGAAGATACGATTATCTTATGGTATGGTTATGGATGGCGTTTATTCTTAGGTATCGGTGGATTCTTGTTATTTTAGGGGGGTAGCTACTTCTCTTAGACGGCTAAGAGCTTTGGACAACACAACAGAGTTTACAGATTTCTTTACCTTGTTTGTTTACTGGAATGGAACCCTTCCTTTTTAACCTACACTTCTCGATTCTAAACTCACGATGTGTTTCGTTCAGATCCTGCAAGCTGTTTGTTCTTTGGCTTTCATGATTTCCAGATTGAGAATAGATGTCGCCATGATCCATGCGTCTCTTAGCTAGGTATGTTCCATTCTCTCATGGTATTTACAAAACACAAAAACGCCCCCAGGTATCCTGCTATAAACGAGCCACATGTTTCAACTTTCAACAAGAAAGAATCATCCAAATCTGACATCAACGACCGCTGGCTGGCTGGCTATGCACTGCACCGCATCTTCTCTCTCACCAATGGTCTTGAGCCTACAATACCTGCAAATAATTGCTCGGCACCAGCCCAACCTGTCCATTCCCACCATGCACCGTGGCCTCCCACCATCCATCATCCTGATGTCTCAACACGGCCAAGATATCGCCCTTGGCAAAGCCCAGCTCCTCCGCAATGGCCGCTTGGTACATGTACATTGCTTTGGCTGTTTGGTTTTATCAATCACCGTTAGCACTCACTCGCTCACTCCAGTCCCTCCAGCCATCATCAGTAGAAGGCGAAAATCGAAAGAAAAGAAAAAAAGACTCACCAAAATGAATAATAACCCTCCCATCCCTCGTATACTGTCTCCCATCCGCTGCCCCCTGTCCACCCCCAGCTCGTCCCGCATCCACCACACTCTTACTCCTCCCACGGCCATGTACCGTTCCTCCGCCACTGCCACCGCCCACCATCATCGAAGCCGGCACCATCTGTCCATCGCCGTAGAAGCTCATTCTAGTCCCTGTGGTCGCTTCCCTGCTCGAATCTGGCCTTCCACCAGATTGCGTGCCGTACCGGCCGCGCATCGAGCTACCGCTCGTGTACCCATCATCTGGCTGCCCTTGGCCTTGGCCAACACCACCAGGTCCGTAGTGAGCGAGCTGCATGTGGTTCTGGGTGTGGTCAAGACTAGATCCCGGGCGGTTTACGCCGCTGGTGAATGGTGATGGGGAAACGGAACGGGCCATGTCAACTGGCGACACGGCGCCGCTGCCGCCGCCGCTGCCGCCGCCAGCGGCTTGGTAAATGTTGGATGATGAAGAGCCGCGGTAGTCCATGCTTCCGTGGCGGGTGTACTGCGTGTCTGAACGACGGGGTTGTTGACCCTGGGCGGGGACGCCGGTGGGTCCCATGGACTGGGAGTGCGCGTGGCGGCTGTTCATACTGCCTGGGTTGGAGGAGCCGCCGTAGGGGTTGGGAGAGGCGGAGCGGTAGCCGCGATCTTCGGAGGCGTTGTTACCGGGCCCGGACCAGCTGCTGCCGTAAGCGGCGTGACTGCCGGGACGTGGAGAAGCAGCGCGCGAGCCGGGACGAGGGCTGGCAGCGCGAGGGATCTCGGTGCTTCCACCGCGGGGCCGGCTCTGGTAGTTGGCGGAAGAGGAACTGGACCGTTGGTCTTGCGCGCTGGAGCTGCCTCCGTTAGAGAACAGACTCCGTGTTTGGGCTTGGAATTTTGAGCTGGCTTCCTTCATGGCTCTGCTGGTGACAGCGGGAGGCGGCACACCGAGACGCGAGACGGGTACCATGGCGCCTTGCATGCCGTCGTAGGATGGCGGAGGAGTGGCGCGTGTACCGTTGCTGGCGCCGGGGATAACGGGTGGCAAGGCCAAGTCACTGGTGCTTCGGCTGTTGTGCATGCTGTGAGAGCTGGCGTTCCGCCCACCCGGGGAGATGTTCCCGGCTGGCTGAGGGCCACCAGCGCCAGGAGGAGCAGGTGTAGTGATGCCGTGGTAGTGATCTGCTGACATGCGGACGGACATTTGCTTGTTCATCTCAGTCCGGCTCGTGCTGCTCTGATTTCCAGTGTTGCTAGTAACACCCTTCAACTCAGCCAAAGCCAGGGCAATGGGATCGGCATCGGGTGCCGGTTGCTGTTGCTGCTGCTGTTGACCCTTCCGCTTGTCGAGGGCATCGACAGCAAATACGTTTCCGCCAATATTCAGAGCCAAGCTGGCATTAGCAGCAATAGGATCAGGGCTGACGGACCGTTCAATGCCGAGAGGTGTGTTGTTCTCCTTGGTCGGACTGGCATTATTAGCTCTGGGCGTCCTGTTGCCCATACTGCTACTCTGTCCACTTTGTCCACTCTGCCCTCCATACCAAGTCTGCCTGCTTCCACTGCTCCTGGTGGCCTCCTGCTGAAGCTCCTTGGTACTCTTCCTCCTGAAGGGGCTATTGTTAGCAAAGAAGCCACTCTTCCTCTTGGGCAACTCCTTTTTCTCAGGCGAGGCCGAGCCAGACTGTGCACCATTAGCGGGAACCAAATCGAGCGGGGTTTGCGGCGTCTGCGGTAGCTGCTGCTGCTGTTGTATCTGCTTCACAGGCGAGACAGGACCAGTGGACTGCTGCAGCTGTTGTTGCAGTTCTTCCAACGTCGGTTCGCTACTCTTATCTCCTCTGCTAGAGGGACGGGAAATAGTGTTAGTTGATGGCGCTGCAGCATTGAGATCAAGATCAGAAACTGGGCCCGGGGGACGGCTGAGCAATGCCATGCCGTCCAGCGGGTGCGGACTAGCAGGAATAAAATCAATTGAATCGTACTCAACGTTGTTGGCGGCACGTGAACTCTGCGAAACCCTTGCCACCTGCTGTTGCTGCTGCCTCCGCTGTTCCTCGTGAAGGTTGTGCTGCGTGGTCCTCCTCTGCTGTAACTGGGGTCTCTGTTGTACTAATTGTTGCTGCTGCTGCGGCGGCGGCACCGGTTGCTGTTGGGGAGGAGGGGCTTCAATCTGTTGTTGCTGAGGTGGCATCGTCAGTGCCGTTGGCGGAATGGTTGGAAGTTTGGAGGGTGTGGCCGTGGTCTCGCGACTGCCGTTAACACCCACAGAGATATCATGGCCTAGCGACTTCAACAATGCGTTATTGGGATCGTGATGCGACTCGTATGTGCTCGGCTGTGGCGATGACGAGCGGAAGGCTGGGTTGATGCTCCTTGGGAACTGGGCGACCGAGAAGGCGTCGCTATCTGGTTCGACCGAAGCCTCGGATTGGGCATCGACATCACCCCGGCAAAAGTTGATGTACTTGGGAGGGTCCGGAATCTCCTGGCCAGTGCCCTTCTCCTTGATGAAAGTAGCAATATCCTTCTCAACCTCCATCTTCTCCAGCGACAAGCGGATCTTCTCGCACGAGGCATCATCGCTGACGCAAACGGTAGAGGCAATGTTAGCAAACGTCCAGAGACTACTCTTTGTGAAATCCAGTCTTTCCTCCTCCAGGTCCTGGAACTTGTCAGCGGCGGCCTTCCACTCTGTGTTCCAGCGGGCGGTAGTCTTCTCCAGAGCCTTGACGGCAGCTTCGTAGTCGGCATTGGAGTTGGCGAGGCTAATCTGTGTCTTTTCGAGTTTAGCCTTGTTCTTTCGTTCCTCCTGGCCCATGACCATGTGTCCTTGAGCGAGGTATCCCTTGATTTTGAGAGATTCCTGCTCATAGCGGTCTCTTGTTTTGTTCACAGCCTGGGTCTGCTGTACCTTGACTTTCAGTAGTTTTTCGACTGTGTTCTGGATGATCTTGCGGCGCTCCTTCATGCCGCCTGCGAAGGCGACTAGTGGTTCTTCGAGTTCGCTTCTCATTTGGGCGGCGATGGCCTGGTGTTGCTTGCCCATGGATTCCACCTCTTGCCGGACGGTATCAAGGGAGACTCGTAGGGTTCCAGACTCTTGCGATCCAAGGGATTTGCGACTGAGGTTGAGAAGTAGTCGGGAGTATTCCTCTTCGATCTTTGCCCGCGCTGTTGTGTAGACAAGGTGTTAGTGCCCAGTTCCTTTGGCTTATCCTTTCTTGGAGCATACCTGTGTAGAAGCTCTTAAGCTCATCGCATGTGGTTTTGGCAGCGGACATGCGCTCGAGGAGAGGTTGAACACCAGCATCATCCTTGCCCCAGAAGTTGTTGGCGACTGTATCCCCATGTTAGTTCTCTCTCCCGTCGCCATATTCCAGGTGTTGTCTGTGGAACTGCTCACAGGAAAGGGCCACAGCCGGCGCTTCGCTCGTGGCAGCCGGCATCGTACCCTCTATTTTCACAAAACAAGGGCGCGACTTGCGATTCTCTTTGTCTTTCCAGTGGTTGTTTGTTTCTTTTCCAGTCTCTCCTTATCGGTCGCAACTATTGTTTTATCGGTCTGCTTCTTTTGGCGGTGAAGAAGTCCCGTTCGGTTCCTGCGTCTCTGGTCTGGTACCTGCGTCTGCTCGCGCAATTCCGAATTGTCGATCGTGGGTCGTCAAGTCAAGGACAGTCGTAGATCAGGTACGGCACACCCAGAGTTTCCACAGCGGGACGTTGGTCGGTTGGTCGGTCAGTCGTGTTGTCGAGAAACCCCCAACCTCTTTTCGTTATAATCGTGGGTTCCTTCGTCTTGTTTGAATTCGTTTCGTTTCGTTCTTCGGTGGGATTCGTTGTGACGTCGTGGTGGTTTCCCCGTCCAAGTTGTCCAAGTCCAAGTCGCCCAGAAAGGTTGTTTGTTGGAACCTGAAATGCCCCCTGGCCCTGGTTTATCGTCGCCTGTCGGATGCTCGTTCGCCCGCTATCGATGTCGCACAACCACGCTACAAAATGCTGTACTCCACCAAATCCGATGTCAGCTTCGGGGCAGTCGAATTGACAGCGCAACAACTCTTGAAAGATCGAGTACGGATGATGATGTCGCGTCGCTAGAAAAGAAGGGGTATGTGTTGCCAAAAAAGCAAAAGCAGAAAAAGCAGGCACTTCGCGGACACCTTACCATTTCAGAACCAAGTTCCAGGTCCCTGGCTTCTGTGGTCGTCCACAAGTTCAGCTTTCAGGTGACTGATTGCCCGCTTCAGAGGTTCCTGCCAAGCACCAATTGGTGTCGACAATTGTTGACTTTTGAACTTGGTTGCGGGGGGCAACAGGACGTTCTGGTTGGGCGGCCCCACGCTTCCATCGTCAGGGGCTGATGCAGTGCTCACTGAAGAGCAACCCCGGCTCCCCGGTTCCCCGACCTCTCGTGCCGTCTTTTACCTCCGTGCGGAGACGGCACGGTGCCATGTTGTTGTCGCCGTCGTCCAATGTCGGGTGCAGTAGGGCTTTGGATGGTTCAAGATTTGATCGCATTTTCAAGAAGCAGGTTATTTTTGCTTTTGCCGTGAGGGGATTCACACACGTGTCCGATGTGGATCTTGGTCGTTTTACGTCAAGTACAGAGATTCAGACGGGAATTGGTTCTGGAAGTTCGGATGGGAAAGAGCGAATCTTGATGTCATTGCTCTTTTTGATACCGGAAATGTGGAGATAATATCTGACCATACGGAATAGATCCGAGTCCGTACCTGAACATCAAAGGCATGAACGCTCCTAGACTCCGGCTGGTACGACAACATCGCCGGAGCGGGCCGGGGCCGGATGGTTGGCGCCGTCCCGGGTTTAATCTGATACCAGTAAAAACTGTGACTTGCGGTCCTATACACATGCAAAAGCCCTATACACATACCCATACATGAAAGACACATCTATCATACAAAGGGATACTGAAATCCATACTACCTTAATTTAGTTCCATTGGCTCTTGACCTTCAACTGCACCAACACCGTAGTGCCGGCCTGGAACCACCCAGGTCTCTCAATCTTCACCACCTCCAATCCCGGCACCTTCTGCTCCGCCTCCTTGACCAACTTCTCAATATCCCTGTTCCACCAGCACCCATACCGACTGAAGTGCTGAGGTGCCCAAGCATCCAGCTTCTCGTTGATCCAATCCGACCAACCCTTTCCGTGCTCCAGCAAGATGATCCGACCCGTATCCGGCTTGACCACACCCGCCATGTTTTTCAACAAAGCAAGCGGGTCAGAAACCGAGCAGAGGCCGAAGGTCTGAACGACAGTATCATACTTCTTCCTCTCCTCATCCTTCTCCCCAGGTGACCTCGCAGGATAAGCAGGCGCCTCAGGCAACTTAGCCTCGGCATCTGCCCTCACCAGCCTAATCCTATCCTCCAGCGCCGAAACAAGCACCTCCTGCTCTTCACCTCTCTTACCCTCACCAATTCCGCTTTCCTTCGATGCCAAAAACGCGGCCGCCTTGGGCACAACCTTCCGCCCATCCCTGTCCAGCACATTCTCTCTAAGCCTCGTCCTCGCAACACCCATCATACCCTCGCTAATATCCACTCCCGTGAACGTCAAGATCTCGCCCTCCAGCGATCCAGGCAACTTCATCTTCTCCACCCAATCCTTCTCCCTCTTGTCTCCATCCTTCCCGCCCTTATCCAGCACACTCCTAACCCTCTCCTTCGCCCTTCTTTCCTCCTCCATCCTCTCCTCCTCCGACAACTCCCTTCCGTCCGCACCGAGGGGGCCCCTGACAACCTCGCTCCAATTATAAAACTGCAGATTCCTGCCCGTCCCCACGGCAACCTCCAATACGTGGCCCTTGACTCTCGTGCCGAGCCACTTTCTCAGCGAGCGGATACCCATCATGCGCTCGGGCATGTTAAGGCCGTTGTCGAACGCCATGGCCTTCTCGCGCAGGATCCGGTCGTTGACCACCGGGTCGGCTGTCAAAGAGTCGAGCTCGCGCGGTCGGCCGGTCACGGGGAGTTGGCCGGTTGCGGGGTCAACGTGCGAGCAAGCATCCGGGCCGCGGGCGAGAGAGGTGATCATCATGGAGATGTAGGCGCCCATTATGAGGGCTGTGAGGCCGGAGAAGAGGAGGGGCCATCGGCGTTGTTGGAGGATGGTGCCGAGGTCTTGAGCTTCGGAGTTTGAGTATGAGTTTGAGTATGAGTTTGAGTTTGACTTTGATTTCGGAGGTTGTTTTGCCTCTGGTGTTGGCTCGAAGGGAGTTGGTTCGAAGGTTGGCTTGGAGGTTACTTCTGAGACTGCTTTTGGGCCGGACGGGCTGGACGCCTCGGACCGCGCAGGAAGCTTCTTGGACTTGGCTAGGAGAGAGGTGGTTGTGAAGGCTCGGGTGAGGGTGAGGCGGTTGGCCGTAAGGAATAGGCGGGATGGGCGCTGAGAAGCTCCCCCGAGGGAGAGTGGTATCCTTGTTGCCATGGTGGTGGTGTTGATGGTATGAGTGAGTTGAGTGTTGGAGCTTCGGGTGAGGTTCGAAGCTTGAGAGGTTAACGGTTCCTCTTCGGGATGGTGAGGATGGTGTTTGAGTGTATCACCTTCTGTTATTTCACGTCTCAGCTAGCTACAAGCCTCGAGAACCGTAAATCCCCAAAAGGACTAGCTAGGTACCAAGCTCCAAGTCCAAGAGAAATATGTTGAAGAAGCTCAGCTTCAAAAGCTTCGAAAGTCGTTCTGATGTTCGATGAAAGGCCCCACAATTTTCGGCTGCCAAGCATCTGAATGCAGGTGCGCTAAAGTGCGCCCTGCAGTGACGCTATTGGGACAGGGGTGCCCCGATCATGTCCCAGATCCCCGGATCGTCACCACCTTCCATCACTCCTCATCTTGACAACAAACAAACCACTTACACTCTATATCATCGGCTTGGCCCTCTCTCCCCTCTTTCAACTCTGGATAGCTGACTTTAATCTTTCCAATCGAGTATCAACTGCAAGCACTAGTACACGGACAAAGACCAGCTGCCATGTCAGCACAACAAGACCTCCAAGAGCTCCTGCGGCTCCTCACCGTTGGCCGAAAGACTCCCATGCTTCAAGCCATGGCCCAGATCAAGTCTCTACAAGCAGTCGAGATTAGGAGGTAAGTCAGTCACGCATTTCATATTCTTATTCCCTCCGCTCACGCCAACATACCTCTCTACCAGCATCAAACGATGATATCATCACCCTATTCATCAAAGCCATGTTCACTCACAATGTCACTACATAGCATCCAACAAATAGCAGAAGCACCCTTCGACACCATCAAGACAGCTTTGAACGACGAAAAGACAGCCAAGTCTCTTCAAAATGCCTGCAAAGCGGCCATGAAGCGGACCAGTACAGCAGGAGGCTCAACGGGTACCAAGCGCGGCGCCCCGTTATCAACCGATTCACCTTCCAAGCGCCTCAGACATGACGACAACCCACTCATGCCCTCCCGCACTCCCGGCAAGGAGCTCACGCCTCAAGAACTGGAAGCCTCGCTCGAGCTTCCTTTGTGTCAAGATGAAGAGCTTATCTCGCAAACCGTCCTAGAGACCAACCGCGCCCCCTTAGTCTTGGCTTTTGCCGTCGAGCTATTGCGGCATACAAGGCCCGAGCAACCACTTTCTTCTCGGTTGAGCTTGGGACAGGCCGTAGTCAGCGCCAACTCGCGCTCAAAGGCAGTGAGCATTGGTCTAGCTGCTAAGGGACCTAGTGCCGAAGAAGAAGGGTTGATAGGTTCAGGCCAGCCAAGGGTGAAGGTGATGGGGAGAGAAGTTCCTGTGCTTAAGCGGGGCGGGTATGAGTGGAAGAAGATGCAATGAGAGCACGACTCAACAAGACCAGTCAACAACGACTTCTACGCAATCAAATCAGCCTCAAGAAGAATCCCAACCACCACCACCACCACCACAAGCACCGCAACCAAAAACCGTCCACCCCTTCTTCCAACCCACAACCTCCAACATCCACTGGTCCCCCTCTGGCCTTCCCTTAATCTCCAAAGACTCCCGCTTCCTCGCCCACTCGACCAAAATTACCTCCCCCTCCCAAGAGAAAATCCTGCTCAACAACCTCTTCCGTACCCATCCCAACCTAGAATCGGCCTCCCACAACGCCTGGGCCTACCGCGTCCGCACCCCCAGCAACGCAAACCGAATCATCGAAAAATCCTTCGACGACGGCGAACAAGGCGCCGGCGACTTCATGTTGCGCATCTTACGAGAAATGGACATAGATGATACCCTCGTGGTAATGACGCGGTGGTTCGGCGGGACGATGTTGGGGCCTGATCGGTGGCGGTTGATGAGAGTCGTGGTTTTGGCGGCGGTGAATGAGCGGAACCGAAAGAGTGGTGGTGGTGCAGAATTGGAAGTTGGAGGAGAAGGGGAGGCGGTTGCGGTTTGGGGGTTAGATGTCGAAAAGGGTTCAACATCATCTACGTCCACCATGGGTGGAAAAAGGGATAGCTACGGCACAAGCGTAGTAGGCATGCAAATCCACAAACCGGAAATAGCTCGCAACTACCTTTTACGCAGCTTCCACACAGCCACAGCTACCCCTATCACAATTCCTTTTCTCTTAGGCTCGCCATCAGGAACAGCAGAACAGAAAAAGACGACGACAACGACAAAAACCAAAAAGATGCAAAAGCAACTAGAAACAGAGCGAGAAGAAAACCTAGGCTTACTCCTAGGCGCTCTACGACTGCTCTTCGACAGCTGGAAAGGCCATTTGACAGCTGCGGAATTAGATAAGAGAGCTTGGGCGTGGTATACGGCTGTTAGGCCGGATGTTGAGGCTGGACCGGGGGGTTGGGGAGCGAAAGGGCGGTTAGAACTAAAGAGGATCTTGGAGTTGAGGAGGAAGGAGGATAGCCAGAACTAAATGCGTGTGTGTGTGTGTGTGTGTGTCGCCTGATACAGTATCTAGCACCCTTTTGCTAGGTCGGTATCTCCCTTCTTCACGGTTGGTGCTTTGCTGGAAGAGACAATTTGTATTGTATGTATATATAATGACCCCTTTTACCGTTGTTGGGTTTACATATGCAGACATATGACATATGGGATCAATGAAGCCCATTCAAGTCAACGTCCGGTGATTTTCTTTTCTTGAGAAGGAAACGGGGCGACTTATGTTGAAGAAGAGGTGATTCGTCCCCCCAGTCCCACGGCCCACGTAAATCTTCGCAGGCACAGATCGGGATCTTGCTTTCAGTGTAACACTTCATTTGATGCGGTGCGAGATACTGTAGGCCCCTGAATCTGTAGATTCCCGTGAAGCACGCAAGGGTCCATTGCTTGTTTGACGACCGTGAAAACACGAGAAGGACAGACTTGGTAAAAGGTGAGTAGTTGGCAACACATAGACGAATAAGCACGCAGTCAAAAAGGTAACGAACAAATTGTAGCAACAAAATAGGAAGTGCCTGTCTTCTTTCTAGATATAGGAATGAGTCGAGCTTTCTAGCAGTAGTATAGTATAAAAACTCCAAATCTGTTTGTTTTTTTCAACCACCTTTTTTCCTCTTCTCTTTTGAAATGTTTTTTTCCTTGTCCTTTTGTCTATCTTGCAACATGAACATGATGATCTTTTCTTCTTCTCAGATCCCATCCTCTCTGGCTTTTCCCTTTTGTGTATCACCACATAACTGCTCGCTCTCTGTATTCCAAGAAAGGGGCAGGAAATCCGGAAAGTACTGGTGACTTTTCCATCTTCTTTCGTTCCTTTCATACGCTTGACTGGCCTTGCTGCGCCTCTTTGCAACTGTGGAATAATAACCAAAAACCCAGTTGTTGTTGTTGCAAAGAGACTCGAAAAAGAAGTGGGTTGGGTCGCAGTGTGCACCGACATGCTGCGCCCAGGGTATTCGCTTGACAACGCAATCTCCGTCCTCCTAATGTATGAAAATCCATCCCTAGGTATCCAGGCCATTCGTGTTCCTCTCTCCTCATCGCGGCACCATTTCCAGGTGCTCGCGGCATCCTTCCGTCTCCCATTACTGATAAGGATGACTGACTGAAAAAAGACAAAAAAAAAAAAAAAAAAAAAGCAGAAATAATCCAAAAGGTGTTGTAAACCAAGTAAGTGCAATGGGGGGAGATTTCCATCGATCCCGTGAAAGCAAAAAAAAGAAATGATCAAAAAAGCCAACCGTCTGACACCTTCCTTGACATGCCCACATCAGCTGAAAGTCATAAACGCCATTTCGTGACCCAGCCTCGTCTATGGGATGAACCGACCCGTAAATGCCCCCGTGAACCCCCCTTTGAACACCTGTAAAAACCCCTCAAAATGATATGTTGGTAGCACACACTTGCTTCAAATCGTACACACATTGCGCCGTTGCGCCACATGTAGACTTCCGAAACTTGGAAGCTGCCCAGAAACCCCGACTTCAGTCATAAGAAATAGTCATGAGAAGAAAAGTTTTGGGAAAAGGGGATCAGAAATCATCCAAGAGGCAGTCAAGCTCATCGAGCTCGACGTTCTCTGGGTTGCGATCCCACTCGAGCATCGCATCGAGCTTGCGCCAGCTCTCGGACTCACTGGCACCGCCGAACTCCTTCCGGCCGTAGTTCAAGGACATCATGGTCGAGGATGGCTTCATCGCAGGACTCGTAAGATACGACGTCCGCTCACCGAACAACACATTATCATCCTTGGGGCAAAAGTCAATGTCCATAGCGGTGTTCACAGGGGAAGACGCAGACAGTTCACCGTTGAGTTTCCGTTTCTGCAGGCCGGTGGCGGTCTGAGTGAACTCTCTCTCATCCTTCTCAAGCGGAGGAGAGACACCGCGATGGTTGCGGCTGTTCTGGCTGCTGTTCGAGGAGTGGACCCCGGACAGGCAGTGGCGTGTGGAGAATGAGCCAATTGGTGTGCTGGGCATGGGGATGTCGTCCTCCATGTCGTCGAACTCGGGGCTCGAAAGATCCACCTCGGGGCTGGGGCTAAGCTCACGTCGCCGGTCAAGGTCGGACTCATCGGTCCCCGATGCGGCGCTTGAGATGCTAGGCGAAATAATAGCGCGCGAGGCAAGATTTAGCGCAGCCGCCTGAGCCGGGTCGGGAAGCGGCTGGTGGGGGCATGTGGTGAGATAAAAGTAGGTGCGGCGCGGGTGAACAGACTCGAGCTCCTTGGCAATCGGACACGGAGACGAGACGTTCCAGCACGTCCTCTTGAGGTATGTAGACAAGCGAGACGAAACAATAGCGCATGGGTTGGCAGACCTGATAGAGCAGAACAAGTTAGCAAAACATGATCTTGCAATAACCATGGGCGGAAGGTAAACTCACTGTTGAACAATCTTCAACTGCTGCATCAAGACGGCAGCAAGCTCCTTGACCAAGTGCGGCCTGTTGCCAGTATTTTGGAGCTGGACGATGACAGCCTCAACAATATCATCATTGATAGCCTCAAAGTCAATTGGCCTGGGAGGATCATCGCACTCAACAGACCGGCGAGCACCGCCCGGAGAAGGAGGGGGTGTGTTTTGAAACCTGACAGTCTCACGCTCCTCGCGCTTCTTCTGCTGGGGTTCGGATGGATGCGCGCGGCCTTCGGTCTCGACGGCGCTGTGCGTGCGCTTAAGCTTCTTGGAGGAAGCAGACTCCGCTTTCGAGCTGCTTGTATTTGAGGGAGCAGGCGAGGCCATGTTTGCTGCTGTGTTTGATCTTGTGTGGGAGCTGGTGTGGGACGAGTCCTTTTGTTCTTTTGAGGCTCTGCTTGCGGCAGCGGCGACTCTCGAGTCTTTGGATGTAGGGACGTGGATGCCGAGCGAAGGCAGGGAGAGGGATTTGCGTCGGGTATTGTACGGCATGGTTGCGGTAGTCTGGAAACGAAGTAGACAAGGGGTGCGTGGTCGTGGGTTGACGGCTTTTGAGGTGAGACTGATTATGTTACAGGCTAATAGTAACGTATGCTGCCGGTAACTGTATGCGTAAGCAAGGCGTGCGTGGAGTCGAGGTGCGTCTCGCTAACGTCAACAACTGCTTGACACCTGCTTCACAATCGTGCGTTGGAGATGTTGGGGGAGGAGCAGGAGGCTCGTGGAGGGTGCCTCGTTTTTGGGAGAGGGTCTGAGGGAGGGTTGGTAGTCGAGATGGGATGATGGTGGTGACGACTTGACTTGGGAGACGAGATCGACAATGCTTTGCTTCTGAACCACGCCAACAAGGGAACGTGCACGAATAGCAGACAAGATAGTGAAGAGGATGAGTCTCTTTTTTTCTTGCCTCGAGTCGCCAACAACTCGTTTTGTAGAAGTAGAAGTAGATAACAAGAATAATGTCTGATGATGACCCTTTTCTCTCCCGAAGACGATAGCTATCCAAACCACGATTCAGAATGATGAGCGTTTTTGAAACAAGAGAAGATGAGAAGAGGGAGGGAGAAGAGGAAAGAGAGAAGAGATGATGGTGGCGGATGATGGGATGGAGGGGAGTCTATCTGCTTTGGGGGGAAGGAGTACTGGTGACGAGCACTCAGCAGCAACAGCAGCAAAGAGAGTGGGAGACGAGACAAGAGACGAGACAGTGGAAGAAAATGATGGGGAGAATGGAAGCACTTGCGAATGGCAGTGGAAATGGAAGAACAGTGGATGGGTGAGTGGCCCGGGTGGTGTGGGTGGGTGTACCGTGTACGTACCCAGATGCGCTGGGTGTGGATGGAGCGGGGAAAGCGTCGTCTTTTTTTTTTTTTTTTTTCTCGTTCCTCTGCATTGCCGTTTGGCGAAGGGGGAGGGGGGGGTGCAAGGTGGGATTGTGCGGGAGTGCATTTTGCGATGATGGAAGGGGGCGACCGGCTAGCGACGCAGGACAGCAGCCAAGGCTCACCAAGAGTGGACAGAGGGGCACACTCAACGGGGGTCTGTTGGCGTCGAAGCCAAGAACGACCAAGGCCGGGAAGCTTGAAGTTTTGAACAAGGGTTAAACGCATCAGACCCGCCAATCACAGTACACCATTTTCTTTCAAAAGGCGGTAAGAATCCAAAGACAGGCAATATGTGGATTCCTGGACTTAAGTAGTGTGGGGTCAAGCTGTCGATTTTGGTGGAGGGTTGCACGCGCATGCAACCTGGAACTGGTAACTGGCAGCAGCTGGTGAGAGCAGAGCAGCACTGCACTGCAGCATTGAGAGGTTGCAGCAGAAAAAGTGGAAGGTTCGAAAGGCGCTGCACGCGGGAGAAAGAGGAGCAACAGCAGCTGTCTTTTTGAAAGCGCTGTAACCGAAAGCAACGCGACTTGTACCGAAGAAGGAAAAAGGAGATGCCAATCGCATCGCCCACCAGAAATCTTATCGCACTCGGTGACAGTTAGGTTTCTGGGTGTAAGCGCGATTGCCTGTTCCGTCAACGGGATATCATGGCAAAGCCAAAACAACTGAACAACACATACAGCTGTTCTAGCTACAAACATGATAGCACGAAATAACACCACCATGGCATGACCACGGGCGGCATCTCAAACCATATCAACCCATGGGGGAGAACCAAAAACAGGCCGATCGCGGGACCACACGCCAACGTTGAACCTTGACCCAAGAAGAACTAGGTCGGATCTAGAATTCTGGGGTCCACGATTGGCTGGCGGCACGCTTTCTACCAATGGCATTGCACAAACTTAAAAGCCAATCCGAAGGATCCGCGAGGACGGCGAACGCACCAAGGGAAGAAAGCGAGAAGAGAGAAGAGGGACGCCGAAGCTCAGAGACTCTGGCCGACATGGCGAGAACTGACGACATTTCCAAAGACTTTGGGAATAGTGTCTTCAGCGAACTCCTTAAAGGTGATGCTTTGTAGTGGCTCTCCGTTGTAATAATACAGCAACACTATCAAAAGATCGGCCATCACTTGCATCATTACAGTGACCCGGGTAAATACCGTACTGAAAATGTTGATCAGTGACGACAAGCCCCCCACTGATGACAGCCAACAGTGACATTTTGAGGGCTGGCGAGGCTAGTTGATGTAGTGATTTACAGAGACTTTACGAGTTGTGAGACTGACCGAGGTGAAGACAGAGAATCGAGCCATTCCGACTTTGCACCTTCTGCTTTCGTCCCTTCTCATTTCAACTCTTCCCTCTTTTTTTTCTTCAGGGTCTTTGGGCTCCTCTTTTGGCTCCTTCCTGGATGGAGATGGACAAATGCAAGGTGGGTTTCGAAAATGGATCTCCGGCTCTACGAAGCTGGCTAGACTCGAATTGGTGCACAGTTCAGCGAAAAATTCCCGAGGCTGCTCCACCCTTTCGGAACCGTTCTCAGTTCCAAAACAGAGAGACCCCACTGAACTGAACAGAAAAAAAGCATGCCTGTGCCTGGAAGAAAAAGGCATTTCTCCGCTCCGTCTTTCCGAAAAGCGCACTGGCAGTTCCTCAGCAGCCAACAGAGAGAGAAGAAGTTGGATATCCACCTGCTAATAATACCGCAGTTAAAGTTTACCAGAGAGAGAGAGAGAGTCATTGTGGCTCACAATGCCAAAGTTCAACAATTCCACTGCTTTGTCATCGCTATCAGCTGAGAGCTGCAGCACGTTGAGGAGGCTGATTCGGCGGATTAGCAGTGATGTCGGTTGATCGTGGGTTCTAGCCAGCGGAAAAGAGAGGCTGCTGACAATCACCGTGACTCGTTCGTCGTTCCGAGTCCCGTCGCCACAGCCCCGGTTCCCTTTTCAGCCCCAAAGAGCCCCAAGAGCCCCACGATGCCGTTGCCGGTTTGCGACAATTGCCGTTGAGCCTCCATCCAGGGGCACATTGCTACTGTTACGTCGTTTGGTTGCGCCTCATTTGCCTCTCAACGCTCAGCCTCGGCGTATCGCTTCTTCTTTTCTCTGCTTCATCATCATCGTCGGGACTGCCCGGACACGCGCGGCAAGGTTGATGATGCCACCGATAAAGAACGTTATCGAGGGCCTATCAAGCTGATAAACCCAAAATACCTAACAGAATGATCCCATTATTGCTTCCCACGTGCTGTTCACAAGGCATCTCTCACGGTTGGAAGATGGAAGTTGACGATGCCTCCGTGTCTCTGGGAACATATGACGTTGTCACACACAGTGACACTTTGACGGTAGCACAAGAAACAGGCAGAGGCAAAGAAAATAAAGCTGGGTAACGCATCGGAAATAGGACGTAGTCAGGTAGCATCGACATCATTGCGTGGTTGAGCTGAACACGGTTGTTTGATAGGCATCAAGTGCGTCGGCTTTTGATATTACAGTGAGATTTCTTGTAAAACCTCGCAACAGCTCCTCTGCAAACAAGATATGTTGCTGGTTGGTAGTAACCGAATACCGTAGTGAAGAGAGACACAGACAACGGAGCTGAGTATTGTGATATGTGGATGTTATGGTGGTTTGTTGTAACGACTCGCGTCTCTGGTGGGCGTCTCTGGTGGGCGTCCCTGGTGGGCGTCTTTTCCACCCAAACTCTCTCCACTTGTGAGATGATGCTGGCTGATTGATAACGCATTGAATACCTCCGCAATCACAGCGTTCATGTGATGCACTTCCATTTGCTGGCAGAGAAAAGGGGAGACGAGAAAATATAGGGGTCGGGTGTACCGATAGCGGATACTTTCGGACTGTTAAACTTGACCTAAGGCCACTGAAAGAAGTGGCTGATTGTGGTGTTTCTCTGTTCCATCGTCGTGGAGCGCGGCAGTTCTTTCTTTCTCGGCTCCTCTTGCACTTGCAGAACTGGCGCTGTAAAATTTCGGTCTTGTCTCCGTAAAGAACCCCGTATTCAATGATGCAGACATGGCGGGAAATCTAGACCCCCCCTTCTTTCACCTCCTCACCTCCTCACCTCGGGTGCCTCGAGTCAGTGCAACGGATTTGATGCAAGGGCAAAGAGAAGGAAGGGTACGAAAAGAGGCCAAGCGCAATGAGGCTTGATTTTCGAAAAGCAGTGCAGAGAAAAGAAAAAAAGTAGGGGACCTGCCAGAGCCGCACTGTCGATTGGATTAGCTTCAACTTTCTTTTTTGGTTACTGTTTCTCATCCACAGATGACCGCAGATTCGGGACGGGATCGAGATCACAATGTCTGAACTTTGTTCGTTTGCTGGCTTCGGCCGCACAAACTGCAAACGACAAGACGAAATGAGGGGTCCGACCAAAAGAAGCAACTCGGCATGCGCTTGGAGTATTCTGATTGGTGAGTATGAGTTTTCACTCGCAGACTGTCCTTCTCCGCTTTGGATCCATTTAGACAGTGCGCCAAATGTGAAAGCTTACTAGAGCTCTGGGCTGAACGGGACAAACGCTTGAACGTGGGCGGGCGAGATACATTGCATCAAGGCAGCAGAAGTCCCGACATATGTACAGCACGTCTATGTAGATGTTGCATTTTCCATGTCTGAACCTGTCTGAAGGCCCTTTTACATATCAGATTGGAAGTTCGCTTCGAGTTTCTCTATTACCTCCAAAATGAGTCTGAAGTCTGAAGTCTATGTACACTTTAACCTCAAATAAGCTTCAAGCTTCTTTTCATCTCTATGTACACCTGTTCCGTCTACCCGGTACATTTTCACCAAGTCCCCCTCCAACAACAACAATCAACGTCAACGTCACCAACAAGCGACCGAACAAACGCACAACCCCAAGCCATCAAAGCCTCAAGCCACTAACACCCCTCACACCCCCTCCTCCTCGCTATCTGACAAGCCTAACTCTTTCCTTTTGACAATCTACCTACCCCTCCTTCACCTTACCACATCACCCTCCTTCAGCCTCCTTCACAACTTCACTCGGCTCAAACAACCTCGAAACAACCAACCACCATCATTCCAGAAATTCCAGGATCGAAAGCTCCCCGGTA